GGGTGTTTTCTATTTGAAGGCATTTCCTCTCCACAGCTGCCTTAGACTTCTGTGTACTGAAGGAGGGAGGATTACACTGAAGGTGCCATTAAGCACTATTTCATGAGCGGCACACTGGGGAGACAGGCAACAGGATCGGGGTCTTGTATCGAAACAAGTTCCTGATTGGTCTTTGTGTTACCTTGCTTCGCTCAGTCTATCATTTTTGATAAAAACAGGTTCGGTTAACTCTGGGTTTTCAGAGCAGTTTGACGCGGTTGCTCAGTCAGCAATGTATTTTCATCTGAAAAACATTTACTGTACTACAAGTCTAAATAGCTGTAACATGGAAGATATTTGACATGCATGGAGGTGTATTGTATTTGTTCTTTCGTCTCTCGATGTAATTGCTCCTGCTTGTTCTGTCTGTATTGTCTTGTAAGCCCATGTGGGCTGGGCACCCTTTGGTGAATGGCGCTTTGACAAAAAAAAATACTATTTCCTAATATGTTTTCATGGAAATAAACACAATAGATGACTATAACAAAGTTAAAGGATTACATTTACAATTGTTGATGGTTTACACTGACTTTGGGGTGGTTGAAATAATTTTTCGGGACGGTGGTGAAAAAAGTCTGGAGTGTTGCATACCAGCTGCTATAATAAAACAAAACAACGATCTGTATCGGCCGATATCGCTCATCGACAAACGGTAAATAAATCATGATCAGGGCTTCTCTAAAAGTTATGTTTGCTCCCTATTTTTTCTGCTGATCTGACCCATGACTCAAACCGTGATGAGATGCGAACGGTGAGTTTTGAGATCCGTTGCATCCCCTGGTCAAAGTCTATCTTCATGAAACTGGCCCCTGATCCTCTGAGGTTAGCCTCCTCCGGAGCTGGTTAGCTGTGCGGCATCGGTTACCACGTTGATCTAACCTTGTTAAGAGAAAGCTTGCTTCACGACACTCGAAAACCCAAAGAAAGCTGCTCACGCACTAATCTTCAAAACCATGCATTTCAGAAACTTCTCTCACACACTGAAGAAGCTCACCAGGACTTTAAAAAAAGATATATAATTAACACCAGCAAGAGTAAACAATGGACGGAGGCTAATGAGTCTCATTATTTTCTCCTTGCGCACAGGGTGTATACTTAACCTGTCCTCTTCCTCAGTACATGACGTACATCATCCTGACCGGAATACTAATTGTTATGATTTCCCAGCTCTGAAGGACTCTGATAGCAAGCTTTTTCTTTGTGCAGGTTGAGTGAGAGTGAATCAAGAGATAGGAGGGCGTATTTTAATCACAGCCTCACAGCGATGCTGCTACACCTTCAGCGATCATTCCATCTGCTTTAGTTGTTCTACATATCTACATATCTTATAGCTTCAGTATCAGGACGCCACTTTCACCGAACAGATTCAAAAGATTTCACTCAGCTGCATGCTGGACTTTTTAACTGCTTAAAATCCAACATTCATAGATTCTATCAGACAAACCTTTGAGCATGTCGTTACACACTTGGCCTAATAGGAAGGACGGGACAAAAGCAGAAGGATTCCCGTACAGATCAGATATGTCTCAATACTTCCTGTTTTTGTCTGAAGCAAAGCAGCACAAAAACAAATCACAGCCAGACAGAGAGCGTCTTTGGCTCACAGGGAATTACTCGTCCTCCTTCACACAGGGTCACAGGGGTTATAATAATAACTTTATTTATACAGCACCTTTAACAACAGAGTTCACAAAGAGCTTTGACAGACAAACCAAAGTAAAAGCAAAGAAATACAACAACAGAAAGCCAAACAGTTAGGTCCAACAAAAGCGATGCAAACTAAAGTAAAATGTTGACTTTCGATAAAAGCAACAAATTGATTTGTCAGGTGCTTCATTCTGTCATTTCATTTTTTGCAACTTTGTCAATGAATTTAGGTCCTGATGACCTGATAGAATACTTTTCTGTTGTATTAGTGCTTTTAAATAATGATTTTTAACACCGGTCAAAAGCACCCGGTTGCAGAGTATACAGGTTCAATATATAAAAAAGATAGATTCAATGTTTGCCATGGGTCTTTGTTCTGACACACTGTCATTTTGAAGGAGACAGACAGATTTCCTGATCTTAATTTTACACAATATGCAAATTTGATTTGCCATTATAATGATAATCTGTTTTGTTTTCTTCAGGTGGCTTTTCTTACATAATTAATAATGTTTTAAGAAGAACATTTTGCTACGATGGGGGTTTATTCTTGGGGTCCCCAGTGGGTCATCTTTGGATGTTAATAATGTTGGTAGAATGAGGATTAAGAGATATTGAACTTTACCAAAACGTTCTTTATTTAAATAAATGTTTTACCTGCACTAAAATGTTAATAATGTCAATATTTATCCAATTTCATTTTAATCTTAACATTAGAGGGAAATCGCTACATTTCCTCACAAAGGAAAAAGGACACATCATATTAGAGCTAAAGATGAGCTACAGATGTATGATACCATGCAATAAAAAGTCTGTCATAAAGCACACTGTACATAACCATTTCCACTGTGGTATTTATGTTTTTGAATGCAGGCTCTGTAGGAGTCTAAAACCCGCTTGAAGTATTGGACATGACAGCTCAGTGAAAGCAAGTAATTACACGGTCCATTCAATTCACGCCGAGATTCACCACTGATTGAATGTGAGTATGTGTTGCACTTAAAGAGTAGAGTAGAAATACTCACAGTGAAATATTTGAAAGAAGAATTTATTCTGAAAATATTTGAAAAATTCAGAGAGTAGTTGGACTGCCGACTGAACACAAGTAAAAATAAGACTATGTAGCACTTAGACAACAATAAACAAACAAACAAAATGGTTGCCAGAAATACAGATAGTGTCAACTAGTAAATCGTATCTCTCATTTACGAGTTGACCAAGTATTTGAATAAAGTATTCTTTGCTTTGTACAATGTTTTATATTCCTGCACTTGTTTCAATCCCGCCTGAGCCGGTAACGTGACTGTTTATCGTTGCGATGGCAACACGTGTCGGCAAACCAGCTAACGTTAGCTTAGCTTGAATTCTGAATGCTGGCAACTCACAAAAAAAACTGTTTTTTGACGTTACTCAACTGAAACGATTGTCACTGCTAATACTTAGCAGACCAAAGCTAGGGTGTTGTTGCATGTCATATGAGTGAGAAATTATTAAAATGTTCATTTAAACTCCTAGAGTTAAGTCAGCACACCATCATTTTTTTAAACACCTATAAATAATTGATATGGGTCTTACTACTACTACTTACTTAACATTACACTATATATAAAATATGAAATAGTGCAGTATATAAATATTAAACATAGTGAACAGCAGATAACCACATATGCAGGAGTTCCTCCAGACAGTGGAGTGATTTGACTCTGCATAATGGACAAAAGATATAGTTTTGGTGAGATTTGGGTTGAGAAGTCTCGCAGTGCTCAACAACATAAAATTTTTGAGGGCCAAACCTCCTAAAAAAATACTTATTTACCAGTTGCATCCACAGTTACAGTGTGTTTTTACCTCCACTTCCATGTGATCCATGTTTTTGTGGAGGTCTCAGATGGACTAACTTCTTCCTGCAAAGAAAAAAAAACAGATTGAAAAACAGATCTGCATTTTTAACCTCAGCATATCAGAGCTACCTGGATGGAAAGAGAACACACAAAAAAGAAATATGGGTTGTTCTATGTTGTTTGAAATAGACCTTTTCCACAGCTTGGCTTGTCAGGTGGCAACCTTCGGTTCTGAAGTGAAGCACAGGCTGAAGTTCCTTAAACTTGCATTCTTATTAATGTCCAGCAGGGGGCGACTCCTCTGGTTGTATAGAAGTCTATGAGAAAATGACTCTACTTCTCACTTGATTTATTCCCTCAGTAAACTTTGTAAACACAAGTTTATTTTAATGAATGTAAATCAAATAATGTTGTTCCTTATAATCTATAATTGTTTGTGATAATTACTTTGATAGCCAATTAAATGTATTTTTGTGATACTGCACCTAATGGTGGTGCCCCATTATCATCAATAATACCTATAGCTTAACTTTATATATATTAATCATTTTATTAATATCAGTAATTATATCGAATATTTTCTAAAATCTAGACCTGCTCATATGCATCCTCAACAATACTGTAAAAATACTCCACTGTGACCATGAAAAACAGCACATTCTCACATTTGACAAGCAGAAACTATCAAATATTACAAAATGGTCAACTATCAAAACAGTTGTCATTTATGTTCTGATAATTGACTAATCCATCATCAAATCATCAATTCTAATTGTAAATACAAAGTAACCAGTAACTCCAGCGGCCAGTTTGAGTACACATGTTGATTTGTACTCAATCTGGCACCAAAGATCACAACATTTTGGGGGTTTTGGCTGCTTTATAAACATACCAGGTCAAAATCTCTTTTGCTCACACTGTAAGACTTGTTAGATTCTCCTCTGATACATTCAGCTGTTGCATTATTTGTGCTCAAAGAAGTAGATGGATTCAGCTCTCACTCTGTCACCTGAGGGTGTTTCTGAAGAGAATATGAATGCATCTCTCTGCAGCCCTTTCTGGAAACCTTCACTTGCACAACTTATTTGGTCTGAGAAGAAAACATATTTTCATACTCAGTGTATTTAAAAAACCTAATTAAGTAAACAATATATTGATCCAACAAAATGAAAGATTTTCAACTTCAATAGAAAATGGATTAGAAAACTTAAAATTCACATTTTCTGAGAGTGAATTCATCTTATCCAGTCATCTACTAGTGCCTTCTGTTTATCTCACACTCGGGTTTGTTTTTTTCAAATCACATCGGCCCCTATAGGACGATCGTTCACCTCATCCAGTTGCGCACGACTTGGTGACATCAGCGGTGACAAGCGATCCTGAAAAATGACTCTCAGCGTCGGTGTGACGACAGTGACCGGAAAGTATAAATGCTGACACGGGAAAGTTATCTGCTCATTCCTCCAGACTTGGTCCATACGGGTCGCCAACTGCTGCTGCAGAGGCTGAGAGCAACGATCATCTCTGTGCGCTCAACAGAGTCAGAGAGAGAGGAGAGCTTGGATACTTCAGGTGAGTCTAGCGCACTTCAGAACAAACCTTTAAACTAAGTAAAGATGTCTGTCTTTAGTGTTAGTTGAGCTGCTTTATCACATCTGGGTAGTTCAAATGTATTTTTATTATAAGGCCTTCGCGTTATTCAAATTAATTTCAGAAGTTTTTAAGACAGCTTGACGTTCAGTTTCCATCTTTTCTTTCTGTAAAACTGGTTTAAAAATGCTGCTGCGGTGAAATTATTCTCCCGTGCACATTTACTGGTTTAAGGATTTTATAAGAACCTTAACTGGTCAGAATGTATTGTGTCAGTCGTCAAGAAAATTGCCCTCAAGTGAACCAAGTTGCACTGAACAAATTGTTAATCTCTTATCTGATATATTCCCCATCGACCCTAATCTGTTTCTTCATCAGAGGACCAACTAAATTACCATGAAGTCGATATGTCTGCTCATCTTGGCTTTTCTCGTGGTCTGCAACTTCACTGTGTCTGGAGGACAGGGCATCCCCGCTGAGGACGAGACGGACGGGAGGACCATAGACGACATCATTCTACAGAGAGCAGAAAGTCTCCTGATACGGTCCATTCTCAAAAAGATACAAAACGAAGACGCCAGAAACGGTGCGTAAAATACGTGTGTTGATGCAAAATGGTAACATAAAGTAGTTGACACTTTTTTTTGTTTCTCAGTCATAACATGTAATTAGCCACTGCCATGACATTGATGAAAGGAATATTTGTCTCGTTTTTAAATTGAAAATATTTAAAGTGAAAACATGTGCTAGAGTTTTGGGCATTGTTTCCAGTTAGACAATTATAAATAATATTTCAAAACACTTGTTTTGAAACATGAAAATGGAAAAGATGATAGAAGGGATATGGACGACCAACTACACTTGTTTGTGCGCAATTTACGCACGGCATACAAACTAGGGAAACGGGAATTTTTATACTTGGGGCTACTTGAAGTAATCCAAATAATGTTTTCCTTTCTCCAGAGGGATCTTCCTCTCAGACAGAATGGATGACAAAACGACAGCATCCCGGTAAGAGATACGGCGAGGACTTGGAGAAGCGGCAGCATCCGGGGCGGAGAGAAGAAGACGGGGATGAACAGTACTTCGATGTTCAAAAGAGACAGCACCCGGGCAAACGCGAAGAAGAAATGCACTCGTTCATGGAGCTCCAGAAGAGGCAGCACCCGGGAAAGCGCTTCGCGTTGGGACGCGTTTCTGAAAACCCCGTGACGCTCCTGGGTGAACTTTCAAAACGACAGCACCCGGGGAAGCGCTACCTGGTGGTGCACAGCAAGCGCCAGCACCCAGGTAAGCGCGATGGGGACGACGATGGGGACTGGGATGCGGACGGAGAAGGAGACGACGACCTCGCTGAGTTGGAAAAGCGTCAACACCCCGGGAAACGGTTTTGGGATAACTCCAGTCAGGATTTGGGCACAAACAGTCCGTGTGACGTATTGGACCCTACGAGCTGCAGCAAGACCAGTTTGCTGCTCGACTTTTTAGACAACATTAACAAGAGTCATGCCGAGGAGAAGCGACAACACCCGGGTAAAAGGTTTGCACCCGAGGAGGACTTAGTGGAAGGAGAGTAGGTTAAACAGAAGTCCGGAGCGCGTGCACTGCTGTATTGTAAACAAATAAATGTGTAAACGAAGTGACCACAATGAATTATTAAAAACGAAAAAATAATTTAAACCATTTAATCTGTTGTTCCACCGACAGTCACTGTATCATCGTCGCAAAAACGTGTATCTGCTGTTTGTTTTGTTTGGAGAGGTTGTGCGTAATTGTCCTCCAGACTGGTTATATCGCTGTAAATATGGGTTTCGCAAGAGTGCGTGCCCTATCTTGATTTGAATTAATTCAAATGATTTAGTATTTATTCCGTTGATTAGGCTACTTGTACTATAGTCAAGTCCAAGAATGAAAGCATTAGTCTACTGGCTTTTTGCGATGTTGCCTCTGTGAGGCGGCGCGCTCTTCAGTCCAGTATCGGCTCCAGCTTGAAATATGATCAATGAAAGTGGCCAACGTTTACAGCTTTGCAGAGGAAATCCCTTCATTGATTTGATTTGTGTTTCATTATTTTCTACTTATGTAAAATATAATGAATACCACCGCAGAAAAAAATATGTCTGATTATTTTTCTATATTATTGCATGGATTAAGTTTATTTAAGCTAAATTATAAAACGCCTTTGCCTTAAAGTCAACCACCAATGTTTTTGTTGGACAATAAAACGCATTGGTAAAAATGTATGGTTTGCTTCAGTTGTGCACTATTAAAGTCTGTTAAACTGTTTATCCAACCCAACAGGTCTAATTAGTGTGTAGTCCAACACAGCAGTCACTCTGCTTTAGCCTCATCGACAATGATTAAGTGCGATAGCAGACAGAGTGTGTCAGGTATCTCCTCTCCTGACGTTAATTGGGCTCATTCCATCCCAGCGGCTGCCCACAGGCCTGATCAATATGCAGATTAGTCATCAAGCACGTGAGTTACAGATGGAGACTTCATGGTGGAGAAGCTCCACTGGGACGCACACACAACTTTCAACTCCAGTAGTAATATGCAGTGGATTTGACAAACCGTCAAGCAGGGAGAAAACAAATGCACATTGTCTGCACTGGATGAGACATTTCAGACGAATAAATATACTTATCTCATGCACAAAAATATTTGAGCCAACTTGAATTACCTCAAGGCGAGAAGGCGAGGCATATATATAAAATACATATGACATTTACATATAATTTAGCTGAAAGGTTTGTGGTTTTGGAGTTTCTTTGTCTAGGTCAAGCTGTATAAAGAGCACAAGCCTATTGATAATGTAACAGTGATACGCACACAACCCAACACACACACACACACACACACACACACACACACACACACACACACACTACTCTGTCTTTAGTTTATGGTTTCCAACATTTTTAGTTTGTGAGCCCTACAAAGTGAAGCAGCGTCTACTGTCCTGTCACAATAACTACTTTTGTTGAACGGTATTGTCCCAGAAATATTATTGCAATTTTAAGACAATTTTATGTCATTGATATAATTATAATATAATAGCATAATTATGCAAGAACATCCTAATAACTTTTAATTCTTAAGAACATTTAGACATTGGATTGCACTGTGAAAAAAAAATATGAAAATATCCAAGATAAATAAAACATGAACAAATAAAACCACACAAAAGTGCATATCAATAATCCTTAACAGGCAATATTAGTTTCTCAATGGTTAGGAATTTGTTAACAAAAGGTGCAAAGTATATCAACAGATTTTACAAAACAAAAGCAAAAGTCAGAGAAAAAGATTTACATTAAACATAATTTTACACAGCAAAAAAAATATATACTTTTTTCATTCTTATAGCTACATTCAATAGATTCATGTTCCTGACCCACAAGACTGAGAACAGCTGAGACAGTCCAACCAATTATACTTTAATTTGCCCATGACTGACTAACTAGGGGGCCTCGGGGCATAAATGAGCTTTGGGCCCCCATTGACCTCGAGGCTTTAATACTACACGTGGCATCTTAATTATGTTTTACCATAGAGCCCCAGAAAGTAAGCTGTAGGTTAAAATATAAAGGTTATAAAACTATAAACTACTGAGTTAGTCGAATCGAATGGTCTTATGGTCTCCACTCTACAACATGCCTCAAGGTGATAATGCAGAAACCCAAAGCTTTTATCATTCCACGTCACATATTCCTGAACAAATCAGCAATTAATGAAATTGTCCTGAACCAACTGACACAAGGTGAACTTGATGAGGCATCTTCCCGCCTGGCACTATAGCCAACATAATAGGCCCTTTTTCCAGAGCAGCCATGTTTATGTCTTAACAGCGTAAACACAGGTGCAATTAATTTAATTAAATATGGCCCTGTTCTATTTTGTGTGTCGCATCCATTCTAGTGAGCCAGCATGCTCAATACCAGGGCACTGACCCACCTAAATGGAACGGTGCCGTAATTAATGTTATTTATTACACCTGTGTGTGTTGTCCTGCAACGATCACGTGGATAAGGCTGCTGTGAAAGGGGCCTATTGTTTCAATGACACTGAGATCATTGAGTTCACTCGTGGGCCTAAACAGCAGACAGGAAGCAAGAGTACAAGAAGAAACACAGATGTGTCTCAATTCAGGGGCTGCATCCTTTGAAGGCTGCATTCGTAGACCGGTTGCGTCACAGCGCGGCGACTAGGCTGTCCCAATTCGCATGTTTGCTGAAGACTCCTTCAAATGCAGCCCACGAATGCAGCCTTCAGACCCCAGATTTGGAGGACACATCTGATGTATCCTTCCAGCACATCCCGAGATGCATTGCGTGCCGGTGAAGATTTTATTTGTATCGAACATGGCGGCACGTGATGCGGGAGCGAGTGAATCGACATCGTTCACTTTTAAATGTAAGTATTGGGTTTCAACTCACTCGAATGTCACCGATACGAATGTTAAAACAAAATAAGAGATCTTACAACATCACGTGTGTTAAAATGATCCGTTAAATTACGTGACGTTCGTAACTGACAAGCCAACAAGCCGCGGCGGTAATAGCAGGTGGATAACCCGTCTACCTGAGCTCCTGTTATCCACCTGAGGTGGATAAGTCCAATAACGTTAATACGGTTGAGATTAATTACACAGATAAACTGAACTTGAGTATTTTGCTGATTCTGTTCTTGTTTTGTTACAGAGAGCCAGGAGCTGAGGAGAGAACGATGGACAAACATTCAGCAACCATGGCTTGAATTAAGACATTAGTCCATTTGTAATATCTCCATTTGACCATCCTGTACTTAAGGTTACAGTTACATTGGCTCTCATCCTGTACAAAGAATTCACTAATAAGACAACCAGTAGATCCTTCTTATGTGTTCATGTTGCTGTCACATGATGACAGTTGTGATGTCACCTTTTTCTTTTATTTATTTAAATTTAAATAAGACATCCATGTAAATGATTTCTATGTGAATATGTATATATTCTGCTGTGTAAAAATTGTCAATCTTCTAAATTTGCATCCCTGTGTGAACATTATTGATAAATGTTTCTCTTTTCATCATTTTCTCAATGTGATTTGGACAATTTTGGAGAAAATGTGCCTGCAGGGGTGGGGGCAACTTATTAAAAAAAATATAAAGTATATGCACATGTGTTACTGCAAGTTTAATAAACACGTTTGCTGACATTTGTTTTACTGCTGTTAATATTAACTGTCTTCATTGATTTCCTCTGCCTTAGGATTGCTATATATGTACATGTAAATATATATACACATGTATATGTATACATGTGTGTATATATATATATATATGTATGTGTGTGTGAATGAAATAAAATAAAGTTATTGATAAATACATTGTTTTAATTGCAAGAACTATAACTGAAAATGTGTTATTTAACTCTTCTCACTCCTGTAAAATTTGCCTAAAACGCCTATCAACCGCGTGCCCAAAGCTCTTATTGAACCATTGGGAGTACATGTATGGTTTTAGTCTCTATTGAAAGGTAACACTCTGAAGTTGCGTCAGAATCACTGTCAGTGCTACTAGCATTGAGCTATGGAGTTTTCAGCACACAGAGAAGGATTTTATTTCCGCCTAGTTTTGTAGCAGCTATCTATGGCTGGGACTTATGACCCGGAAAACACAATCCTACGTCAGCATGGAGTCATGGTACCTGGCATAAGTTAGAATTTGATAACAATACCACAGAAAATTAATATTTCAGAAAATTTATATTTTAAACGTGGTTTACAAAGAGTGCTGCCGCGTAAAAACGCATTTGGAGGCTCGCGTCACCACGTCAAAATGCATATACTACAAACGATAAACTAATTGTCTGAAATTCGAACTACAGTTTATTTATGTCGATGTATGGTTAACTATATCATATTTAACCATTGCCAACTTTCACAGATTCTTGAAAATTCTCATGAACCAGACTTGATAATGGTCTTGATAATCGGTCTCTTCTTTTTTAATAAATTTGCAAAAATTTCTACATTTCTGTTTTTTTCTGTCAAGATGGGGTGCTGAGTGTACATTAATGAGAAATAAAATGAACTTTTTTTGATTTTAGCAAATGGCTGCAATGAAACAGAGAAAAATTTAAAGGGGTCTGAATACTTTCCGTACCCACTGTACATGTGTGTTTTATATTATACTGAATATTATTATTTTATATATATATATATATATATATATATATAGACCTTGTTATAATGAGGTAAAGATCAGGAGAAGTAAACATGAAGTGTAATTATGAATACTGGTGTTAAATTAAGCTATGATGAGTTTTCACTGTTAATTTACCATCTCAATTAAATGTTGATGCCTCCATGAGCAAGTTAAGCAGATGAGACTGAGGACAACTACAGTATGTATGTGTATCTATGTATCTATCTATCTATCTATCTATCTATCTATCTCATCACAGAAACACCTTTATTGCAAGAGTGTGGATTTAGTTAATATTAAAAGCAGCAGTTCACTATCTGGGGTTGACTTGGGAGACAATCTGCAGACGAAATCAAGAACCAGCATGTGATTCATACTTTTAATGGCGGAGACACTGATGTGATGTGTGAACAAGACACTTCGTTGAAACATTATTTGCATTTTTGTAATACTGTGCTACATGCCTTTTAATGGCAATAAAGGGATGATGGGAGGAACCTGTTGAAGAAGACTGATAGAGCACAAACGGTGAAGGTCAGGAGTATGTTGTGGTATATGTCAATCGAGATGGCACATTGATGTAAATGCAGAAGTGGTATAAAGCTCTCTAGAGGAAAGACAGTTGGTATGTCTGATATGTGATAATTTAGTTGCATATAAGAGAGATGTTGACAGTGAAACTGGGAGGACTGCCTCAATAGCAGAAGTGTGGAGTGTGATTAAGAGGATGAGCGGGAACAGAAGAAGTCTTTAGAGTCTGAAGCAAAAGTAGTGAGTCGGCTGAAGACAGGGATATCCAAAATGATGGTGAAAGCATTTGATAGCAACATAGTTCAGCATGTCTAACTGAAGAAGGAAGCAGGGGAGAATTAACACACAGAGAGAGAGAGCACCCAGCATTGGATGTAGACCAGGGCTCCTTATCCCGAATCAAGCTGCACTTGACAGGCGGACAGCAGGACAGAGAAGTCTCCGGTGGGATGAGAGGAGGTGGACTCTGTGTTTACGTCATGATGCTTCGTGCTCAAACCCAGTCAAAGTTGATGGAGAATGTTTTCCTCATGTTGAATTTTTAATGTGAAGATGTCGGCCATATTATCCGGCCAGAGGATTGTTTTTGTTGCTGCCGTTTACATTCCTTAGGATGCAAAATAAAAAAATGCAGGACAGGAATCTACTACTGCTTTTGTTTTGTTTGTCATGTGTTTGTTGTGTAGCAAATGGGCTACAACTGAATTTCGATGTGCATCCATGTGTTGCATAATTACAATAAATAATCCTTTAATCCTTGTTATCATCCAGTCAATTTTCTATTTAGTTTAGAAGACATGAAACGACCTTTGTAATCGGATAATAGCCGATGTCCGATGGGAAAGATCAAATGTATCACACAATGTTGACAACTCTTGACGATATAAACTTTATGGAAACTGGTTTAGTTAGTAAATTAATGCATGGAAGGAGGCTTCAATTAATTAATTGGTAGGCTTGAAAATCTGGTCCACATTCCAAAGCAGAAGGTGGCCTAAATGCACATAACACACTACTAAACTAATCCACCGTTAAAATCACATGTTTGAACAAAAGAAAGAAAGAAAGAAAACAGAATTGTTCTGATAAGGCTGCTCCAGTTCGTGCGTGTGTGTCTCGTGTCGTTTGTCCCTCTTCTCTTCCCGTACCGGCCGAATGCTAATCACATGACCAGGCAGGGCTGCTGCAGCTGGTGTTGTCGAGCTGTCAAAGAGAACGCTGACTGTCAACCACACACTTGTTATTGGATTCATTTGTAAGTACACCGCATCCATCGTGTTGTAGTATTTGTGTTTGAGAAGTTTGAAGTTATTTGTCCTCCGTGTTTTTAAACAAAACGATTAGAGAATCGATAGCTAAAGAAAGCTAACCCTGTTAGCATTCTGCAGCTAACGTTACATTTACAGTATAAAGGCGGCCAAACTTACATAACTGTTTAAACAGCGTAACTTAAGCCGTCGGGTGGTTAACACACAAACATCACATTGAATTAAAAGGTGTATAATAGATTTGTGCAACTCAGAGCTGTCTGCAGTAGCATTAGCATGTTAGCTCTTTATGAGGGAGTAGAGTGGGTGTAAACCTTTTGTTAAGAGCTATATTACACAATCATTAGCTTAAACATGTGCAGCAGTAATAACCAAGTAAGACATAATATAGCTCTTTAATTTAGTGTCCGTCACACTTATACTTTAATCACCTAAAAGTCACATTATTGACAGTTGAATTTCATGTGAATTTGGTGAAATATTATTAGTAGCCTCAATCTTCTTTGCTCCAGGCTCTTCAGGTGTCCCAGGACCTTTCTCAGGTGCGATGGAGCCATCATTGTGGGGGTTGCACACCCCATGACATGTGACCCGAAGCAAGAATCTCCCACCTTGCGTCTCTCTTCTCCCAGAACACAGCCCGCCGCGGTCATGGCCTCCAGCTATCCACCCCCCTTTGAGGGCACAGGTGAAGTGAAGGAGGGCTTCCTTTGTCCACTGTGCCTCAAGGACCTTCAGTCCTTCTACCAACTCCAAGACCACTATGAAGAGGAGCACTCTGGGGACGACCGCCACGTGAGGGGGCAGCTCAAACGTGAGTTGCGTTAATTGTACGATGCAATTCCAGTCTTGTGTTTTATTGTAAAGTCTTAAGAATAAAAATAACTAGTTTAGCAAAGGAGACAGTGTGGCCTTAAAGCAGTTTAAGGGTTACAAATTGAGTTTGATATAATGGCACTGCAGTGTTTGACTTGGTGGAAATTGTTGCCAAGATAAATTGGCAACAATTTCTGCTGCAGGGAGGGAACGTAGATAAAACTGATGAGCTGCAGAGAGGAAGACTCCTGGTTGAAAACGGAGGCACACAAGGGAGTTTGCTCTCTGATTAGTATTTAGTTGTTCAGATCAAGAACTGAATATTACTGGATGTTCTCGTGGACTTGGAGGCAGTGGTGTCCTAATTTTCTTTGTGCGCAGTTTTGGTTCAGAAGGCAAAGAAAGCCACAGACAAGCTGCTGAAGAGGGATGGAGACGACCAGCTGGACACAGGCAGCTATGAGTCCTTTTACTACGGCGGAGTGGACCCCTACATGTGGGAGCCTCAGGAACTGGGTGAGTCTGTGAAACTGGGAGGAAATGAATCTATCTTTTGATAGAATTAGACAAGTATTGATGGGATTTACTAAGAAGGCCGTTAAGCAGCAACCACACGCTGAACTCTTGTGGTTTCCTTTCTCTTTGCTTCTGTAGGAGCAACCAGAAGTCACCTGGACTTCTTTAAAAAACACCGGGCTGCTCGCATAGATCACTACGTCATTGAGGTCAACAAGCTCATCATTAGACTGGAAAAGGTTTGCTTACAGCAGCACAAATCACTCGCACCATGAATCTTAAATCACACTTAAGATGGGGCGTAACTGTGCCGACTCATTTGTCCTTTTTTTTTTTTAGTTGACATCGTTTGACAGGATCAACTCCGATGCTGCCAGAATCAGAGGTTTGTGTTTTCATTACAACTCCTCTCGGTGTGCGTCAATGAGTTGATATTCTAAATGAATGAGTGTTCTCATCCTCCTTTCACAGCCATTGAGAAGTCCGTGGTGTCATGGGTGAACGACTCGGATGTCCCGTTCTGTCCCGACTGCGGAAACAAGTTCAACATCCGGAACAGGCGGCACCACTGCCGCCTCTGTGGGTCCATCATGTGTAGGAAGTGCATGGAGTTTGTCACCTTACCTCAGGCCCGTACGTATGAAACAAATCTCCTGCAAATTATCATCGGACATCCAGGTGAATTCAAGTACGTGTCTCAAGACTGCCTATTCTGTGTTCACAGAAAAGCTGATTAATGGGACAAGAGAGGCCCTGTGTGTACCTGGAAGCCCCATTCAGTCCCAGTCTCCCCCGGTCGGAGGCGGCGGGATGGGTTCCAGAAGAGGCAGCATCAGCAGCCTGAGCAGCGTGACGTCCATGCTGGAGGAGAAGGACGACGAGAAGATCCGCTGCTGTCGCCACTGTATGGACACGCTGCTGAAGAGGCAGGAGAAGCTGGAAGAGAAGGACCGCATGCCGGATGTAGTGAAACTTTACGAGGTTTGCACATCAAAAAATCTCCTAGTTCAAATTATAAAAAGGTTCTATACATTTTTCAGTCTGTCCCTTCTTCTGGTCCCACTTGTAGTGCAGTTTGCTCTGTTGTATCCTTCCCGTCATTCAGTGTTTTTCTTTTGGGGTTTCCTGTTGTTCACTTTGCTCCAAACTTGTCTTCCTGTCAGCGGCTGAGGATGTGCATGGAGAAGGTGGATGAAAAGGCTCCAGAATACATCAGAATGGCAGAGTCGCTGACGTAAGTACCAGTTATTTAAGAAGCATTTCTGATGAGAGAAATAATCTTTGATACGAGAGACTGCTTGCTCATCGTCGTGGCTGTGTGATCTCACAGTGCCGGAGAAACCACGTACAATCTAGACACTGCTGGTGGACTGAGACTGGAAGTGCAGAAATACTACCAACTAATCGACGCCCTGAGGTAGATGTCGGTCCTAAATGTCAGACAGTCTTCTGTCATCTTTGTCAAATATGGAGTTTTTAAAAAGATCAAATCTGTGTTTTCTTCTCAGTAAGAAGATTTTAACACTAGGAGCAAAAGATGATCCGCCACCGCATCCGAAGTCCCTCCAGCTGCAGAAGATGATCCGTTACACAGCCACGCTGTTTGTCCAGGTGACGTTCAGAGAAAAGACTTACGGGGCTTCGGTGTCTTTCCAATCCTCACCGTCGCATACGTCTCTCCAGCGTCATCCTTTGTTTCCCTGAATTCACTAATTCTCCGTGTCGTCCTTGTTTTAGGAGAAGCTGTTAGGTCTCATGTCTTTACCCACCAAGGATAAATATGAAGCGCTGAAGGACAAGAGAAAACAGGAACAAGAGAAGAGACTCCAACAAGAGAGACTGGTGAGATTGTGTACCGATACTTCTCTTTCTTCTTCATTCGGAACTAGTTACTAAATGTTTATACATCATTTATTTCCAACAGGTAACCCAGGAGACCCTGAAAAGGAGGCAGGAGTCTGAGAAGAACCGTCCGCCTCCCAGCACCAACGGAGAGCTGCCGCGGGCCCCGAGAGCTCCGCATATGACCAAAGCCGGAGGATGGTTGCCCTCCGCAGATGCCATCCACACGCGCAGCGAGCTGGAGGACCCCCTCCTGCAGCAGATTGAGAACATCCAGTCGTTCCTCCGTCAGGCGCGGGAGGCCAAGAGGGCAGACGAGGTGGCCATGTTGGAGGAGAACCTGCGTCAGCTGCAGGACGAGTACGACCAGCAGCAGACCAGCCTGGCCATCTCGCTCTCCCAGAAGCTGGCCCAGGAGGAGAGCCTGCAGCAGGGGGAGCTCGATCGTCTGGAGGCCCGGGAGAGGGAGGACTGGGAGCACTGGGGCCCCGCTGTGGGCAGCACTCAGCCTGCCCTCACGTGGGGGATGTCTCCGGATATTAGTCCGGCAGTCGGCTGCCAAGGAGAGGAGAACACTGAAGCAGGGGACCTGACTCCCAAAGCTGAGAGGAGTCCATCCCCTGCGAGAGCACTCCCTGTTCTCACAAGCCAGGAGGAGTCGCCTCCCAGGCTGAGGAGCTTAGGGGGGCATGTGACCCCCCCTGGTGGCGACGGACAGAACAACGCCTCCCTTAACCCTTTCGAGGAAGAGGACTCTACTCCCGTTGAGGAGGATCCATCCAATCCCTTCTCTGAGGACATAAAGAGGGAACACAAAGAGGTCCGCAACGAGAAGAAAGAGTACAACCCGTTCGATGAAGACGAAGAGGTCGACGAAGAGAAACCGGCCGTGGCCGGTAACCCCTTTGAAGACGGCGACACAGACACGGGTAACCCGTTCCTGGAAGCCTCTAGGAACTCTCCGGGAGTCTCGAACAACCCCTTCGACAGGGACGATGACGCCGGGGATTTGCCCGATGTGGACATGATCGAGGAGGAGCTGCTGCTGCAGCAGATTGACAACATTAGGGCCTACATTTTTGACGCCAAGCTCAGCGGCCGCCTCGACGAGGTGGAGCTCCTGTCGGAGAACCTCGGAGAGCTACAGCACACCCTCCAAGAGCAGAAGAAAAAGAAGCACTGACCCCCCCCCCCTGATTACCTGCTACTTACCAAGTCCTGCAAGGCTAGCTCACTTTACATGACTAATGAGCCCACTGGTTTTAGTTTGGGCGAGGTCTGCTGCACCACAAAAAGATTTGGTAAGTCCCAAAATGAAATATGTACTAAAGCTCAGCAGTCTGGAGTGACTCCCTTACTTTCTAAACCACTCATCCTGTACAGGGTCGCAGAGGGCTGGAGTCTGTTTCAGCATGCACACTTTTTAAGCACTGCAAGAAAAAGTCCATTTGTACAGTTTGCATGTTGCTGTAGATGTTAACGCTGTTGCATCAGGAACACAGAGGAATGGCGTTCAAACACTTTCAAAACGGCATTGTGAACAAAAGGGAGCCATGAAGCTGACGATGCACATTTAGAGATCTGTAGTTGAACACTATGTGGGGTCTTTTGCCAAATTATCTTAATAGTCCACTGAAATAGCATTGCACTCTTATAGCATTGTCAGATTCATGATGGACAGTAAAACATCTACATTACCCAAAATGTAACTCCACCACCAGTGCGTTTGATCCTAGTAGCCTCACGCGGTCTGATGCTCACTACTTTACAGAATTGTTTTAAATTTCAGACTTGTAGTCCTTAAAGAACCTCAGACTTTGATGTGTAGAATCGGTGGAGCCTCCCTTTACCTTCATTGACATTAGTGCCACCTTGTTGTACCACCAACTCTAGTATATTTGTGGTAACTCCTGAACCGAACCATACATTACTGTTCTAACTGGGCCATGAACAACAAACACCATCTGATGATTTAATTAGAAACAAATGAATTTAGGCTTTTACGACCAGCCTATGATCATTCAGTAAGATGTCCTCACAGGCTTGAAATATTAAATCAGTCACATGACTTTCTCCCCGCGTCGTTCTGTGACTTTCACTCATGACGTTTCAGGGAGAAATGCTTCTAATACTTAATCATACTATAAATAACCACATGTACATCTGCGATACAATGTCCACCACAGGCTTTGAATCAGTATTACTGTTCATTTCTGTTTCAGTGGAAGTTGCTTTTTTTTTTTCTTCTGTAAAACTGAATTTAAGTGTGAACCATGTCTCTGTTCGGTCTGAAGGTCGTCCTCGAGCAGATTCAGTTCAGTGATCTTTTATTTTGTGCATCTTGTCACGTTGGCTTTTTTTAGACCTTTATTATTTTTAAAGCATTGAACCAAGTGGAGCAAAACGTTTCCCCCCGTCTGACTGAGGGACCCCTTCCAGGCCGTGATCTGGTTAACAGAGGCACTACAGATCCAACGGAGCACTCGGGCTGCACGAGTTGTGTCCGGCTTCTTTACCCCGCTGCTCGATGCCGCTCTTTCTAAAGAACTAGAGGCCACGCCCGTCTTCCTGCTTTTCTTTTATACATTTGGACTGATAGAATCGCTTCTGTTCCGTGCTGTCGGCCAAAAGCCGACGCAGTAGTTTCAACCAAGAAGTCCATTCATCCAACCAGCATCCAACCAGCAAACACTATCTGCAGATGCACATCTTCAAACAAGACGCCAGGAGTCACTAAAACCCCCGTGTGCATTTGAGAAGATCAAACTAAATTCTTAGGATCAGCGCAAGATTTTAAACAGGTTTTGGTTTTGTCAGATAAATGAACACTACATGAATGCCAACAAGTATTATCACTCACAGCGCTGCTTTCCAGTCAGTCCGGATGTCCGTGATGTGTTTGTGTGTCGTCTGTTGATCTCACACTAACGTCTGTGACGTCCACAGAAGACACTAAGTGTTTTGTGAGCGTGAATAACTCCAGCAGCTTCTTCATGTGTATTAGCAGTTGATTTTTAGCGAATTTGCTAAAACTATTTTGATGCACAAACTTTGGAAAATTCCATCTCGGCACCAATAAAAAAAAAAGTTGTCTCTGTAAGATGTTTCTGCCTCTTGCATTAAACATTGTGGTTATGCTCACTTAAGGTTCAGATTTCGTTGATGTTCACACAGCGACGACTGCAGCCACATAGGCAGGCAAATCAGTTTTATTTGAATGTTTACATTGCAGTGTTGACATTTTGCTCGATGTGTAAATCTCATCCTGTTGTGTGTCGGTCGTTTCCTGCTGCTCTCGCTGGACTGGAGAGTCCAGCCAGCGACGTTCCCACAACGCACAGCGCAGCGGGATCCATTTAGTTACTCATATTTACAGCTAAATCTGCAACGGCGTAGTTTTTTTTTTTTTTATGCAATCGTACAAAATCAAACCGTGGCTCAGCATTGTCCCGTGAATCTACAGCACTCAGCTCTCCTCCTCGGTCCTCGGGCGTCTCACTCCTGTGAGGCTGCCATCTGGGCGCGATATTTCCCCGTCATCTCTTTGGGCAGCGGCGTGCTGCCGGGACACGGCACCTGGCCCTCCACCTCGCACATGCACTCCCTCAGACAGTACTTTCTGGGCCCGAAGTTGGCGGGGTTGGAGGCCTGCATCTTGGCTCGAGCCTCGGCTTGTAACACTTCTCTGTAAAACAGAGCGGATAACATCGGTACGTTTATGGATTGTCTGATCGATGCAGGGACGGGCGGAGAATCACAGGTGTAAATAACAGCCATTGTTAAAGTATTATCAGCTATATTTCAATTAAGTGATCCAGCTTTCATAATTCATTTGAGTAAAATACTATTGATGTGTAATCTCTGAATTGAAATCTATCAACACAAACAGTCAAATGTATCTGAACCAGGAGACACTGCTGAATATTCTAGAATATCTTACTCTGATTTTCCCAGAATCTTCTTCACATGTTGTGAGATTTCTTTGTGGTCCTTTCCTTCCACATCCACCAGAACTTGCTCCCCATCATCTGCAAAGGAGAGAAAGCATATCAGCACAAGCGTGATACAATACATCATCATAATGATAATGGTAATAATGCGGGTCAAAGAAGCACATGGGAGAGGTTTTGCCTTCGTGGTTTTCTCCTTTAGTTTAGGCTTCAAACATACTTAGTTTAGCTTTCAGAGAAGATGTTTTGAGTTAAAATGAACCCCTTTATGGCAGAACACTCTGATGGAAAACGTCTGTGTGCATCAAACAGAACAATACACACCCAGGTAGAACTTCAGGAACGGTGATGGTGTCATATTTTTGAACATCATTATTTGGAGCCACTGGTTTTTGTACTGAATCCGAGGAATATTGAAGAACACAAACTTTCTGCAAAAAAACCAACGAGAAAGTAAACGTTTAAGAACAGAACAAGACAGGTGGGCTGAATCTCTAAGTAGTTTTTTTTTAAGAGAAGTACGTAAAGAAACACAGGCGGTACATTTTCTTTTAATCCTAAATTATATATTCCTCTTGTTCTGAATGGACCAAAGCATGAGAATGTTTAAATTACACTATTCCGTACTATTTTATCATTGTTAGTTGTAATAGTTTTAACTGAAACTGAAGAAATAAGTCCACATGACTCGTATTTATCTTCTGTAATAGCTATAGTTGCTAAACATTGATTCTATACTTCAAGATTCACAGAATTATGCATGTTCACTGTTTTAAGTGTTATTTTTCTACGAGAAAACAAACATGCTGGAACTTGCGCATGAAATTAGAAATTACATAAATAAAAAGGCTTAAATCTGAAGGAACTAAAAGTGAAGCCGACATGATTGATCTATTAGTCAAATAACAGGAAATTATCTTTTCATTATCAATTTATTGCTTATGTCAAAACAATTCTCTGGTTCCAACTTCTTATTCCTATATATATTCTGGTCATTTTTCACTATTTATCAAACAATATAAATATTTATATATTAGAAAAATACACATAATAGAGCCTGTTTTAGCCGTTAGCTCTGAGGACGTGTGAGCCGTGTTTTAGCCGTTAGCTCTGACCTTGCTCCGTCGCTGAGCTCTCCGTGCGTGTTGTAGTTCACCGTCATGATCTTTACTCGGTTCTTAAAGATGATGTCTCCCTTCTGCAGGTACTCCAGAGTCCTCCTGATCGGAAACCGTCCTTTCATCGGCATGTTTAAAGTCCCTCTTTTCAGTTTGTATTTACAAAACCACCACAACCAGAGAACCAGGAGAGGCGCCTGTTGATGACGTCAGATGAGCGACCAGGAGGATGGCAGGTTTTTTTGTTGACATGAGCAGTACAAATAAAACAAGTCATACTTACATGTGTTTTTATATGTTTTATTAATAAAACGTATATTCTGCCTCAACTAATAAAACAGCAATAAAGTATATAAATAAAAACAAGGTTCTCTCATATTAAAACAACTTTATATAAAACGTTTGTTTATCTCAATTAGACACAATATGTACATGAGAAACAAAACAAAACAATGAATTGTTGCAAAAACAAGAATAATAAATAGTTAAAATTCGTAGTTCTTACTTCTATTGTTTTTTAACTGCTTTAAATTGTTTCCTCTCCTTTATTGAAATCTAAAATAAGAAAATAAATCAATTATAGATAATAAAAATAAACAATATGATAAATTAATTTAATTTAATTTAAATGAAAAGTTAGTACAGTCAAGTTCAACTATCATAATCCAGTTGTATAATTTACATTAAAAATTCTGGATAATTCACTTTTTAAATTAAAGTTTTTTAGTATTACCCCAATTTCTCAAATCACATTTTCCTCAGGGGGTCTTTACAGTCTGTACAACATACGACGTCCTCTGTCCTTATGATGTCCATACTGAATACTCTCACTTTGTGTACTTTTTGATGCCAACAGTTTTATACTTTTACTAGGACTTATGCTAGTAAGTCTACACTGGTTGAAATGAGTTGAAGTTTTGAGTAGTTCAGAGAGCAGTAGTACATGTTGTCAGCGAGTCCTTTGAGAGAATGAGAGGTTTATAGTTTCTATATTACAAAAGCTACATTTCTTTGTGGTGTGATGTTGTCTATGTTGTTACCAAAGCTGTATCTAAGAGTGAGGATTGTGATTCATAGTTTCCTTTTAGCTTTAACATACAGGTATTAAACAAGAGACTCAGTCGTGTCATGTTTCATACTTAATTGTTTATTTCTTGAATAGCGTGCGGCCTCGGAGAAGCCAGCCTCAGAGACTGGAATGCTGATACAGGAGCTCCGTCGTTATTACATCTGTTTTATATCTTCATCGGTGTGAGGTAGAAATGTGGGGTTGTGACAAACTTCAGCAAAACATGGATGTTGTTTCTCAATCTCAACGTTTAAAGAAATTACATTGTACATGAGCAAAAAAAACCAAAGTATATTTACATAGTATAAAATTTAAACCATAGGATACTCCACCGAGCTGACGTTTTCTCATCTAATATCCTCTAATGTGTTAGCTGCTCATGGTTAATATTTTAAAGCCACAACATTTAAATTAACATTTTGTCATACAGCATTTAATAAAATGCACTTAAGCAACTTCTTCATGCACTGCAATGCACTATAAAATTGATAACAATGCTCCTTATTAGGGCAGACGGCGACAAGATTATAAAACCCGGCTTAGAAACATCATGCACTCATTTTAATGAAACTACATGTACAAAGGTCATCTCACAACAGCGCCGTTACAAACAGTCTGTGTGGGTTTTAAACCCCAAATATTACAAGAGACATATATATTTCACGAGACTTAATCCTTCTTTACATTCCCGTTATCATTCACGATGCTGCGGGTATTCTGAAGCATTAATCGGGTGAGTCGAGACATCGACGCTTCCCAGAAAATCTTCTTTGTTTTGTTTTAAAATCGGGGAAACCTGCCCAAAAGTACTTTAAGTACACTTAGTATGCAACGAGCTAATTTGTTCACAACAAATCAAACATTTTAGAAACCATACAAAACACAAAGTCTTAGTCAGCATGAACACAGCGGAACAGAAGCTGATTGATGTGCAGTTAGCGGAGTACAAATGCAAACACAAAGTACAAAAACAGTAGCGTGGCTACACATACGCAACATTTATGAACCAAAATCTTTAAGATAATCTAGTTCCTTTAAAAGAAATAAATGCCATCGATAAATACACGTATATAAAATGCAGATTGAAACTGGCGGGACAGAAGGAAAACACATAGAACTGATTGTCGTAAAGGGGAAAGTGATGAGGCGATTGCAACGGTTATATTAGCAACATATCCGTGATAATGTCAAGATGTACCTAAACATGGAAACACTCCCAAAGTTTAAATCTCAGAGATGTCATCATGCGGCTGACGTGCAACTGGATGAAATGGGATGTCGGTCGTGTCGTAATGCACTGTGTGGTCGATAAATGCCATGAGAGCAGATTCCGGATCAATTCATTGAGGTTTGAGATTGTGTTTGTACCTGATTGGAGTTCTCATTCCAACTATTATTTAAACGTATTTAAAGTCAAGAGCTGTACATTAATGTCTCAACGCCTCTGAAGAAGTGGTGTCGGCCTCAGAATTGGAAAAAAAGAGAAAATGATTTTGATGTTTCGATGAACATACTGTACTTTGTAAAAGCCTGAATTCTCAATTTTTAACAGCACGGCCACTAAAATACCTGTTTTATTTTACGCGCCAATATTACCAAATACAAACATAAACTAATAATTTACAGATTTAAAGTACACTTGAAAAGTAAGTACTTTAATTTTGAGACTTTAAAAAGGTGAACTTTCACTTCCACGTGTTAGATTTCTGTTTGAACTTGTTGATACGGCTCATCGGGTATCTGCAAGCTGAAGCTAAACTATGTATGTGATCAACATGAGCGCGTGGGAAGGCTTAGAAAAGACTACAACCATGTGAAAGGCTGATCAGCCTGAAGTGCCATTAAAGACATTAAAGGAGACGAGCACAGCTGCAGAGGATTCCTTCTCTGTTCAGCTCAGAGCGACTGAGTTCAGAGCCACAAGTTCAAGAGCACCACACTGCGTCCGCTCCAGAACACATTCCAACCGTCAGCCTGGCTTTTCGATCCTGGATTATCTTAATCTACCAAGGAGTCCTGAAGGACTTCACACCGTGCATCGTTTAAAAAAAAAAACAAGGGGCCTCTGCAGGGTTTCGGACCGGTGTTCAACGGTGAACCCCGAGACGAAGAAGAAGAGTACCTGAAGTGAACCCTGGGGTGAGGGGGGGGTCATTCTGCAGGGTCACAGTCCTGGCTGTTGTACTCAGCCGTCTCCATCTTGAGGATGTAAGGAATGATGCTGTCAATAGAGACGTTACCTATCAGGCCGGTGAAGAAGAGCTCCTCCGTGATGCCCGAGTTCATGAGGCGCAGGGCCGGGAGACGAGTCAGGATACGGGTCAACCTGGAGACACGAGCACACCTCGAGTCAGGCAAAGACAGACTGATATCTCATCTTTTGAAAATAAGGTTTTCTTGTAAGCGCAGGATTCTCACTCTCTTCCAGAGATTGTTTTCCATATTCAGTGATCTAGCTAGTAGGACAGGGGATAGGAGGACAGGAGGGTGGAGGACTAGAGGTCAGGAGGACTAGAGGTCAGGAGGACTAGAGTGACACCGAGTGATGTCTGTGTTTTTCTTTCTTTACAAACTTCACTCAGGATTGTTATTTATTTTTCCTTCTTGAGATTTGTTTCAGTGAGATATTAATGACTTTATATCGTGACTTTGTCAATGCTGTTCTAGACAAAATATTTAGTTAATATCTACATTATAAATAAATTGTTCTCCTGTTTTTAAAAAGATACATATGTGTTAAATCATGAAAAAGAACCGAGTAAAATCCTAAACATTACTGTTGTTGCTCTAGAAACATTTAGTAATATTTTAAATATAAATGAATTCTAATCTGTTCTTAAAGATAAAGACCTGAACTGACATCGATATCATCCCTTCTGACGTGCTTAGAAATGAAATGGATCAGAAGAATAATGCAAACACACCCGCAGATTTTCAGCACTTCACTTTATCTTGAAACTACTTCTACAAAAGTTTAAACATGTCATATAGGGACTACCACAGTAATAAAGTACAGCTAGTATTCAGTAACGGGTAGTTTATTGGTCCTCACAGCAATTTAAACAAATATGTGGATACATTTTTACCAACTCATAATATCTAATAATCTTTATTATTGTGAAGATTAAACTACATATATGGTGAAACCTCTTTAACTACCATCAGTACGGTGGGAGGTTGAGCTGACTGGTTGGACTGGAGGTGTGAGTGTACCTGTAGGTGTCGTCTGGGTACGTTTTCTGCACGTAGTCCTGCAGCTCCATCAAGGCTTTCTCCTGGAACTTCTCAATCTGCCCGCTGCTGTCCACACCGGGATGATCTGTCAAACACACAAACACACACACACACACACACACACACACACACACACACACACACACAGGTCATTCATTCAAATCACTTTCAATTATTTTTGTTTGACCAATAAAAAGCTTGAGTGTGTATTATTAACTCACCCGGGCTGAACAACACTATTGCTTTCAGGTAGGCATATTCGTAGCTGTCAGTCTCCAACCTCGTCATGCTGTTACAGAACTCCTGGAACTTCCAAATGTGCTCCATCACCTGCTTCACCCTCTCCCCCGAAAGCTTGTCTGAGAGAGAAGAAAATGTTTGAGGTACTAAGATTCATAATTTACTCAAAGCTCTATCTAACCAGGAAAGTCTCTTCAACAAACTAGAATCACCGCCTCGAGGTTGTATGCCTCCTCAAAGTTGCAGTATGTCATAACTTCATCATTTTATCCTATTAGACCACAGACTGTATGTAAGAAGTGGACGTAGTCATCATGACGTCACCTATTGGTTTGTGGTCTGACGTTTTGAAGCCTCGAGTTCGGCATTTTGGCCGTCGCCATCTTGGCTTTTTATAACCAGTGAACAGAAGTTATATTTGGAAAACGGAGGAGTGACGTAGAGATGTCGTATACGCCTCTGGGAGAGGCAGCGACCTGTCAATCACAGTAAGCCCGCCCTGAAGCGTACCCTGTATTGAAGAAGACTTGAAACTAGAGATTGAGACCATAAACTCATGTTTACAATGTTTACTGAGGTAATAAATCAAGAGAGAAGTTGAGTCATTTTCTCATATCAGGAGTCGCCCCCTGCTGGCCAATAGAGAGAATGCAAGTTTAAGACACTGCCACAGCAAAAAAAAAAAAAAGAAAATCACATTTCTTTACTCCCGTTTCCAATGTGTGTGTGTGTGTGTCCTACTGAGAAATGATGGCGAGGTCTGAGGTCCATACCGTCCTGGATGCTGCTCTGGAGGTGGTTGATGATGGCAGCGAGGATGGTCGACAGGTTCATATCGTGAGCGCACTGAGCGAGACCCAGAGTGAACAGCTCATTCCAGCAGGCTCGCACCAAGCTGGTGTTTGCCTCCTGACTGAGAGCGACAAAGGTGGGACAAAAATAGAAAAGTGTGAGCACGTATAGACAGACAGCGGCAGTACGTCTCCCTGTGTCCAACGCATTCTTACCCAAGAGCTGAGAAGGCAGGGATGGACCTCGCCCAGTGCATGGAGAGGAAGAGAAGTCTGGATGCTGACTCACAGATGTAGTGTACGTTCAGATACTCGGGCATGGGGCTGGGCATGGTCAGCTGGACGAAGAGGAAAAGACCAAAGAGAACATATGAGAGAAAATGATGCGAGTCGGGAGGAGAGCTGAAGCCTATTTTCCATCGAGAAGCTTTTAGTGTCGTTCTTTGCTCTTCTTTAAATAAAGAAATATCCTCTAGTTCAGATATTATTGATGCTATTGCAGCATCTACGCTAACCTCTTTGGGAGCCGCCATTGTTGTTTTGATTGTCACAGGATGCTGATTGGTCCGCTCACTTGGAATTTCGTGTGATAATGTGATCTTGTGTGATCTCGTGACATCGTGAGAGCCCAGCTGCCGTGCAAGCTGAGCCCTTTACCTCTCTTGTGGACAACTCAGTCAACTCATTAACAATAAATCTCAAGTGTGTGTGTGTGTTATTTAACAACAGTCGTATGAGTTGACTCCACCCACCTTAAAGCCGACATGGCTGTCTGTGAGCAGCGGTCCTTCCACCTCAATGATGGGTGTCTCCTGGTCTCGACCAATCAGCTGGATGGTTGTTCCACTGACACACTGCGGCTTATCGGCCAGACTCTGTCCAACACCTACGTCAGGCGGGTTGAAGACTTTGGCCAGGGTGTCAAAGGCACTGTGACACACACACACACACACACACACACCTTTAAATGATAGAAAACTCTCTGCAACATAAATACAAATGTGTCAAATGTGTCATACAAATAATGTTGTTATGCCTCTGTAGCGACAAACATGCTCAATTTTAAATAATCTGCTCCTAAAGAGGCCCCTAGCTTGACACAAGGTGCCAAGAGCGACCAAGAAAAGATGAGAATTCATTGAGCGTTGAAGATATTTCACACAACGACCTCCTCTCCTCGTTGTGCACCGCTCACTGACCGTGTTATCTCGCTGGCGGACTGCTCCTCATGCTGGCTGTCTGAGGTATCACCGTTGTTTAGATTCTCTCTCAGTGAGTCGCTCAGGTTGGCAAGTGATGTCACGACATTGGCAAGTGTCCCCAAGTCCCCCTGGCCAGGGTCCATCTGAAGACAATCAAATACGTCAGCTGAACCGGCAAACACTACAGACACAAAATAGGTGATCCTAAACTGGGGCAAATCATAATAATGTGTTGCCTGCTATCACATGGGATGAACAGATGCTTCTTAAAACGTATTAAAAGTGCAAACACTGTACAGATTAAGCCAGATTTTAGGCTGGAATCTGTCGTCTGTGTTGCAGTTTGAGCAGTTCCACGGTCCTGATTCCCTCATGGATGCTGTCTAAAGATCCATTATAAACTTTAGGGAGTTTATTCTATTATCATTGGAGTTTTACATGTTGTGGCTTAATCTGTAGTGATGATTCGGGACTGCTGTGACATAAACCTGAGCTTCACTGTGGAGCAGACATCTTCCAGCCATCTGCAGCTCCTCTCTTCATACTTTCTGTTCATAGTAGAATTGCAAGCAATGCTGCCTTTCTCTAGAGGCTCCGTGCTGACATAGAGTGTAAACATAAAAGTTGCATGTTCTGGCAGAAAGAGATTAAAATGTGTACTGTGAGTTAATACACAGTACGTGATGAATAAAAACAGGTTTACAGATTTTTAAGCTAAAACCCTTTTATTTTGTTGACCCCATAATACTAGAAAGCACCAAATAAAAACAGCCTCACAATGCAACACGCCCTTCTGAGAACAGCAGCAGAACACACAGGCAGATGTTATATTTACTGTAGCTGCAATAACAGCTGTACCTTTGAGTCAGTGGCCAGCAGCAAAGTTCCATCACTCTGGATGACCGGCTGCTGGATATTAACCAGCATGCCCTGGTCCAGCAGGCTGGACCTGCACACCAGACACAGAGCATCATCAAAAACCAGTTCACACAACAACAACAACATCATCAGCTGAGAGACAGAACAACAGATCCTGAGGTTCGTCTGCAGGTCTGAGTCCCACTGACCTGGACCCGTCTGTCTCTGTGTCGGAGATAAAAGTTGGCGTTGCGATGAGCGGACTGTTCAGGTCCTTGCGAATGTAGATCTTTTGGGTGGAGGCAGCACAGTTGGCATGCCTCTCTCTGGGCACTACGTCGATGGGCTTTCTCTCACTCTGGACAGCTGAGAAGAAACAAAGAGAAACCGTTATGACGACTGTTACTGTCTGTGGCAGGCGAGAAAAACGACCCCAGAGCACTTTGTCAATGAAAAATAATCAAGACTACCTTTTAAGGTTGTTTTTTTGGAGGGGAACTGAATGTTTCTTTACTTTTCAAAACCTGCAGATAACTTAAAAATACCTGTTTTCTTTCTGGATTTGGACTCAAACTCACAGTCAGTCTTCATCCCCATGTTAAGGCATTTCTTCAACCGACAGAACTGGCAGCGGTTGCGGTGGTGTTTGTTGATGACGCAGTCCTGTTTACTGCGGCAGCTGTACGTCAGGTGCTTCCTCACGCTCCGCTTGAAGAAGCCTTTACATCCCTCACAGCTCACCGCTCCGTAGTGACGCCCTGAACACAGAGAGAAAAACTAGTCAAGACGGTGTGAGTCACTGTGTGTGGGTGAAACAAAACACATCCGGATACATGAGCCAAAAATGAAACACCCAGATCCTCACATCAACAGGCGATGCAACTGTAAGCTGTGGTACCTGAGGCCTTGTCCCCACACACCAGACAGTACTCCACCGGCTGCGGTCGGCTCAGGTCCCCTGACTGCCCCAACAACCGTTCCATTGACACTGGATCTGTGACGATCTGAGAAGCAAAAAGTCAAACACAAATATCAAGACCACGATATTGCCAATAGCATCCTGGGTATGAACCGGGGGGTGATGTTATGGGGCGTCTGTACCTGTATCCTTCCTGGCATCAGGCTGTCTGCAGCAGTGAAGATGAGCTGCTTGGTGTTGTGGCTGTCCGGGGAGGCCAGGATGACCTTGCCGGCCCCCGAGCCGTCAGTCGTAGTCAGAATGAACTGCTGCTTGGGGGCGCTGGACGGCTTCATCGCCGTCACTATCTGGATCTTCTGACCTGTCTGCTGGTCAGTTACAATCTGAGGATTGATGGAGACGGAAAGAGAGAGGGAGAGGTGGAAATCAACAGGCACCAACATGGGGGTCGAAGTAAAAAAGAGAAGAGAGTGACATTGACGGTGGAAGAGATTCGTCACGCGTTGTAACATCAACTTGCTCGTCAGTGTCACGTTCTCTGGAGCTGTTACCTGTATTCGCTGTGGTGTTGCAGCAGGCTCAGTGGAGACGACCTGAAAGCGCTGTGGAGACTCGCTCATCATGGAGTCTGAAGGAGAGGACGACACCTACAGTTTGAAACACATTTTAACAAGCTTAAACACATACAACTTATGATTAATAAGTCTGCGACGCACATATATTTTACTTGAGTTTGTGTAAGGCATAAACATTTGTCTAACTGTCTGGAGAACTTGTCTATAGAAGGTTTGTCTCTATCCACGGACAAGAAAAGCAGCAACCCAGTATTGTACACTTCATGTGGGTTACATGGGACAACTCAGACATATGTCATGAACGTCCTCCTCTGCACTGCTCACCTCGGCCTCGTGCTCAGAGTCCACTTTCTGCTGAGAGAGCAGATTGAGGTTGGTCGTCATGATGATGTAAGGTCATTAGTGAGGTCTGTTTGGAAAGATGCCACAGATAATCAACCACAAAAGGTGCAAACTGTCACAGAGGAGCATGGCCGACGCTGCGAAGGCTTTAGAAATACGGACGCATTATGATGTTGATTGAAATACAAAGTTTTGTATGTGACGAATCTTCTCCATGATGTTTAGACGGGACGTTCTGTCTGATTTATGTGAATTTATGTGCTGTAGTACAGACATTTGTTGTTGGGATTACAGTTTTTCTCCATTGCTTTGACACACTGTTAAAAACACACAAAAAAAACGTCACTCAAAACCGGTAAATAGGTAAATATTTTATCTGTTAAATCCAGCCTCCGCATGACTGCAGGGATGTCACCTGAAGTGGAGTCTATGACCTCTTAAATCTGAACCAGACCTGAGATTTGAGAGAGCGTGGAGAGCTGTCTTTGTTGGTTTGTAATTCTAATAAAAGGAACACATTTTGACAGCATAAGTGAGTAAACTGATTGATGTGCCTGCAGCAGCAGCTCCATATGCTCAGACCAAAGGGGCGGAGCCTGCTGCAGCTCCACACGCTCAGACCAAAGGGGCGGAGCCTGCTGCCTCGTATTCTTCACCGGTTGGTCTAACAGAGTGCCCATCAACTCCTCCTTCCACCAACGCGTCACAACCCCGAACAAAATGGACAATCTGGCTGACAGCCAATAATAACAATGGAGAGACAAATCTTATGATAAATATATTGGGGGAGCAATTTTCTTTTTCCAGGTGGCAGAGCCAAGACGACTGTCGACATCCTGGTGGTAAATGTAAAAAAATGCAGCGTTGTTGAATAAAGTAATAGTGATTTCAACACACGTCCCCGAGAAGGCAAAGGTAAAAGGGTCGAGTTCATCTGTAGCTTTCCTGTGTTCGCTAGCCGTTTAAGCTAACTAGCTACTTTAACACAAGCAAACTGCAATCAACGGCTGCAGCACGATAACGACTGCACCCGTCTCTCCCAACGTCTGCAGCACGAGCCGACTGCACACGTCTCTCTCAAGTCGACAGTAGTGTCACAAACTCATCATTAGTAACAGTCTGTTAAGGCACATCAGCGTTAATCGTTTCACGGTCCTTGCCCGGATACCGAGCTGCCGGAGTCAGGCAGGAAGAGAGCTCCGCATCGGCTAGCTAACAAGCTAACAAGCTAGCAGGAAGAATTAGCTTCGATCTTTTATCATCCGGTATCTCAAGAGAGCTTTCTACGGTTTTCAATCCGTGGACTGAGACTTACCTCCGGGACACGGCGGACACAGATTTATAAATATTATAAAATATTTGTTTTGGTTTTCTTCTGTTAAAGGTCATAGTTCGTGACCCCCGCACCGCCAGCGCGTTGATGATGGTTGAGTTTTTTTTTTTGTTTTTTTTTTTCTCCTTCCTCTCTCTCGCATCCCCGCGCGCCTCCAACAATCCCCCCCACCCGCCCTTGGCGCGAGCCAGACTGGACTGACGTCATCGTGTCTGACTGTCTATCGACTTTGTTGTCAGTTTATGAAATTAACATAAAAAAAAAAAGCATAGCATACTTAAAGACGTGTATTTATGATTCAATGAAAATACAAAACAGACACATTTATCCTGATAAGATCTTACTCGAAAGATGTATAAAATATACCTTTTTATTCACATTGGACTCATTTAGAAGTCTATTTTTGTTTAATTCTATAAGGATTTTAATTGGCAGTTAAGACCACATGCCAAATTCCTTGTATGTTCAACATACATGGCAATAAACGATTCTGATTCTGATGCAATTTAAATTGTTTATTATGTTGTCATGTCTTCAAGTTTCACTTTTTTAGGTTATTTTGATGTATTATATACTGTGTATTTCTATAACAAAGATTCTAAAAATGATGTCAAGTTCCATAATTACCAGATGTTTGCTACAGGTTTGTAATCACAGTGATTCAATCCAAGCAATTTACAGTACAATAAAAGCACAGACCCTCACCTTTATTCATACTAATTTAAGACAATTTACAATTAATTTACAAGACATTTGCCCGGTTATGCTACAACATACACATATATACATACATTTCTCTGTCATGGTTGTGCCATGCAGTTTTCCAAGAGATAGATCTATAAGTGTAAGCGTAATATATATATACTGTATATATATATATATATATAAAATAAACAATATGTTTATGCCAGTAGGAAAAAGAAGGCACATTATTACTTGTATTCATGCATTTAAATGTTAAGAAAACACAAATGCAATCTGGTTCCAAAAATCAGTGTGTTAATAGTGTTTTATTTTTATTTTTTTTAATAGTGACGGTAAAAGAGTAGTTTTTTTGTGTGTGGAAAAACACATCAGACACAGATCATTGCACAAATCAGAGTATCTTCGCCCTAAATTTACTGTCTGAAGTCTCCAACTTTATTCACATGTGTAAAAACAGCTTACCTATTTGCCTCAAGATCTTTTGTATTTAAACAAATTGGGATAACGTGGTTGTGTTAACACTGATCAACATCTAAATAACATATTCAATAAACAGATTAGTCACTTTTCTACGTTTATTTCCAGTGGTGCATTGAGTTAGATCTCTGCAGTAGAGAATCACTTCCTATGTGCCTGCATTTACATAAACAAATCTAATATTTTATGGAAATATTAGGACTTTTGTGGTCCAACCTCAGCAAAAAAAACATAAAGTACCTCTGAATGACCACTAGATGTCGCCCTGCACCACTAGGTGTGGCTGTGCAGGAGAACAATCGGCGCACAGCAGAGATTCATATTCAAATAACCGTGGTGAACAATAATCCCAACACTTACTAAAATAAAAAACACTTGGGTTGGTCATGTTTCCCCTCATTTGATTTAAGGTTTGTACATTGATTGCATTATTGGCTGCAGTTCATCGATCATCTAGATCCCTGTATAGAATAGATGCGTCGCCATTATTTGCCCATATTGCAGCTCTAAAATCATATAATAATATAGTATAATAATAAGGTATAATAAGGTTTCACATCTATAAATTACTTTTATCTCCGCAGTCCAAATAGCCTTACTAGATTAGAGTGGGATTTGTTATAATATTTAATGCAGCCAAACAGTGAAATCTATCTACATATTAGTAAATGCGGGGCATGCAAACATAAAAGCCCTCTGTAATAGGTCAACATTAGTCCACAAGGAAAGACAATAGTGCTTTGGATGTCCTGGTCGACATGGGGATAATTTGCCTATGTGAGCTATATGTGATCCTCAGCTTGATGACAGGAAACCCGCTGATCAGAGAGCGTCGGAACGCGGTTTACAAGTTCAGAATCTATAGGCTACTTCCGATCGTTTGTCACATTTTATTGTTTCTGACGCAATCGACCTTTGAGTATATATCTCCAACATTACATTGTAAAGAATCAGGGCAGATGTAGCCCCGGGGCTGCTGCCGAATCGACCGTTTTATTTGCGCAGCTGCATGTCCCGCTTTTAGGAAAACCGGACTGGGCTGCAGCATCAACACAAGAATACCAGCTCCTTTCACTGCATCCTCACCCGAGGCCGATAGCTCTGCTCCAGCTGCTGCGCGTTACCTGCAGGTCTGAGCAAGCAGCGTTAAAGGAGATCAAGAGCAGAAGACGCGTATAATTATGGCGCATGGATTTTAACCGTGGAGACATTTAGGAGGACCGGTGAGACAAGGGCGAGTTGTAGCCGACAGCAGCAGCTGCGGCGGTCTTCGGAGCTGCGCAGCGGTAGTGGAGGTAGGTCATGGTCGGACGGGGACTACGGGCATGTAAGCCCCGGTTTGGGAAGCGAGGGAGCAGGCTCGGTGTTCTGCCTTATCTGTGCGCGGCGGTGGCGAGCGCGGCCCTGTTGGCTCTGCTCTTCGTGGACTTCATCGAGTCCTGGGCCACCTCCATCGGCATGAACACGGCGGTGGAACCGCACGCGGGCATCATCCCCCCGCAGAGCGTCCCCCCCACCCGTCCCGAGGAGTTCCTGCTCATGCCCAGCCCGCTCGTCTGCCAGCGTGCTAAGCCTTACCTCATCACCATGGTTACCTCGGCGCCTGCCAACCAGCGGGCGCGCCAGGCTATCAGGGACACCTGGGGGGGGGAGGTGGAGGTGAGGGGCCTGCGGGTCATGACCCTCTTCATGGTGGGCGTGGCATCTGACCCTGGGCTGGCCAAGCTGATGATAGAGGAGGCCAGAGAGCGAGCAGATCTGATCCAGGGCCGTTTTCTGGACACCTACTCCAACCTCACCCTGAAGACCCTGTCCATGCTGGGCTGGGCCCGCCGGTTCTGCCCTCAGGCCCACTTCATGGCCAAGGTGGACGACGATGTCCTGTTCAACCCCAGCGCCCTCCTGCACTTCCTGAACAAGAGCCGAAACCCCTACGAACAGGGTGACCTGTACCTCGGCAGGGTGCACCTCCATGTGGCCCCGGAACGTGACCCGGAGAGCAAGCACTACCTCCCTTCAGGGGCCTACCCTCCTTCTGTCTTCCCAGACTACTGCAGCGGCACAGCCTATGTCCTGTCCCGCTCCGCACTGCTCAAGATTTCCCTGGCAGCCTCTGCGTCACCTTTATCCACACCTCTGCCCCCCGAGGACGTGTTTGTTGGCTTGTGTGCCCGGACGGCCGGAGTGCTGCCCTCGCACTGCCCGCTCTTCTCTGGCGGCCCAGGTGTGCCATACGGGCGCTGCTGCTATCAGGCCATGGTGTCCGTCCACCACGTCCCACCCAGGGAGATGCTGCACTACTGGGCCGACGTCCACACATCGCACCCTTGCTCCTGGCTGAGTCTACGCGCTTCTCTGGGGCTCTGCAAGGTCAGGGCGATGCTGGGGTCAGCTCTGGGCCTGGAGCAGGGCTTGTGAGGGGGGATGAGAGGTGGACTCACTGGGGCCGTGCCTTGCTTCAAATACTGTGAACAGCACAAGTGCTCTTTGGGCTGTAAAATGTCACTTTTCTTTTTTTTAGAGCATTATTTTTTTAAACACTTATGTAATTAATCAGCTTTTTTTCTTTTTGCAGAAAAGATGGCAGTATGAAGAATTGTCACAGTGGTCTTTAGACTGTTACAGCATCCTTCATTGTTACTGACACATGTTGTAGATGTAGAACAAACACCGGCATGCTGATCTTATAGCTACAGTGAGGAAATATAGCCACTTATGTGATGAACGCACATCGGAGCACCTACACACCAAGTCTGAGACTTCTAGGCTGCTGCCCTATCGACCATGCAGGTACTAAAAGTGTAGATGTTAGTCTATTAAGACGCCTAAATGCATGATGCTCTAAATAGTACAATAATTACGAAACCACAGGCTTGATATACCCGGTAGAATAACACATTATCTATTCGCTGAAACCTTTTAATGTTCAAACCAGAAAACTGAGGAATTTTCTGTATTGTGTTTTTTTTTTTAGTAATAATAATGACATGAGGATAAGAGCAACCCGCCATCAACTGTACAGTTTGGAGACTGAAGGCCGTTGTGGGAACAAGCAGGACTTTGCTCTTCTGCATTTAGAGGCTCGGTTATTCTGCTGCCTCACGTCAACTGGAAAATATAACTGATGTGATGCACAGCTAGAATTGTACTATTTATTTCCCTTTTTCTCTGTAATAGTGAGATTAAACAGTAAGTAGAGTGTGAACGACAGAGTGAGTATATGTTAAAATAATGCCTGTGCTCCACACACAATGTGCACAGAGGAAAAAGTCAGGAAAACCTATTTGAATCAACCGCTGTCACAAATAAACTGCTCTGTATTACATTTGCCTGATGTCCTCTTTTTGCATACATGAGCACAGGTCTGCTTTTCTCAACGTTTCACTAGGTGGGGCTTCATCATTTTGGTCAAAAACAGAAAAGAGGATGCGAGAGAAGTCATTGCCTCCTAACTGTAGTCCTCTTTTGCCCAAGTTCACCCCAAACATCATCTCTTACCTGTTCTATTTGTCAACATTGTTTCATCAGTTGCCTGGTTTTGGGGATCAGCCGTAGAGATGTCTGCCTTCTCTCTAATATAATGAAACTAGAAGGCAAGAACAATACATTTGTTAAACTCAACCGTAATGTCTCTTTATAGGGATCATGACCCACTTACTCAAGATAATCCAAAAACCTTGATGTGAGCAGTTTCATGTGGGAGCTATGGTGGAAAGAAAATGGTTCCTAAATGAAACCACTCAAATGTATTTGGTTTTTCTGCCGCTTTGAGCACAAGCAGAGTGCCATATTTCAGAGAGAAAGGGAGACAGATATCTCCAAAGCCAGGAAACTCACACGAAAACAATCTAGATTCAATTTCAGTTAAGAGAAAGTGTTTAAATTCCACGTCGTTTCCCAATTAAAAAATACTGCAACACTGTTCTCTTAAATGTTTGCGACTGTTTGGCAGTCAGCTCGTGATTAAGCTTCAAGTCTAAAGGAGCCTTTCAGTGATGAGATCTTATTAAAGAGGAATGAAGAGTGTCTCTCACTGTTCTTTTTAGCAGCTCCTACCAATTACAGCATCTGACTGGAAACCAGGTCAGAGATGGTATGAGGAACCATCAGAGGCAACCTTATTAAAATCAGGTTTTTCTTGGACAACATTGCAAACTTCTGTTACACAATGAAGATGCGGTTGCCACATCGCTTATAATTGCTGGAGCGGCACATTTTATACGGCTAAGAAATATGACTTTACCGGAAAGGAATTTTTACGGATTGTGCCTCCTAACGAATTTAGGAGGTATTAAAACAATCTGTGCAAAAATCATTTCTTAAACTCAGATTTGTTCCGAGTTACCCGGTGTTGACAATGTATGCATGAGCATATTTTACAGTCAGTTGTAATATTAAATAACACTCTGAATTCAGAGGCTTTGTTTATTATTAATAGAACATATGTATAGAAAACATTTGACACACGCTCAAGTCAGTCCGGCCACAGAAGCGCTCCATTTGACAAGTTCGAAAATTTGTGAAAAATGCGTTTTATCGGTTAAAAGGAAACAACTTCACACAAATTGTGGATGACGCCCACACGAGCCAGGGCACCTCACATTATCCACCCATGTAGACAGGAAGTGATTCAGGCTACAGGCATTCGACAGAATTGCTCTTTCAATGCACTCAACATTGATTACAGATGATCTGCCACCCATTACAATGAGTCTTCATTAGCACGCAACATTCAGAATATCTGCAAATTTTTTTATTTTTTTGTTCCCCCAGTGGAGGAATGTCTCCTTTATATGAAGTTCAAGGGTCACGCCCACAGAATGTCACGGTTTTGGGCTACACAAAGGGTCCTCTTCTATTTCTTGAATCTGTCCAGAGCAGATTTCTGGCTCGATAACACTGCCTTCTTCTCCTCCCTCTGCTTTCTCTCTTTTTCAATCTCCATTTTGTCCTCGGCAGTTTTCTGGATATCCTCCTGGTGGGTTAAATAAGTCAAGGGAGATGAGCCAAACACTGGCGATGTGGCAAGAAAGATCACAATTCATCACTTTTTATCTTGTATTCTGGATTACTTACCCTCAGATCCTCATGGGCCACTTTTCTCTTGCGCCTTTCAACATTGCCGGCCGAACTACGACCTTTTTTCTTATACCTGGGAATAAATTTCTCTTTGGCAAGTGGATCAAAGCCCTGGGAAGACAAAAAAAAATAAAAAAGAAGCTTTTAGAAAGGTGTGAACAGTAACACACATAGATATATATCTATAGATATATATCTATAGATATATATTGAAATTGAATATATTGAATATATGGATATAGATAGATATATATAGATAGATAGATAGATAGATATAGATAGATAGATAGATATATATAGATAGATAGATAGATATATATATGAGTCAGTATATCTAAATGTTTAGATCTGTTTCCTATAATAAAAATGGATGCTCCCAGACACTGACCAGAGCTTGGACCCTGTCTTGGTGCTTCATATCAAAGGTGGCGCGGTCGACCCTCCCCAGCTCGGTGGGGTCGAGGCTGATGAGCTCCGGCTGGATCTTCTCCAGCAGCGCTTTAACCTCCCACTCCTGTCTCTGCTTTGTGCTGCGGTACGGATTTGCATCCAGACCGTCGAAGTTGGGTTCTCCTGCCCCTGTGAACGTAAAGAGGCAGACGGAGATGGAAATAGTGCTAAATGCAAATTAGAGCAGACCAATGAAGGGCTTTCTGACAGCGGCGGTTGTGAGCTGAAGTGCAACCTCGTTATTCAGTCTACTTTTAAAATACCTGGTATGAGCATGCTGGTGAAACCGTCTCCGTGTCCCACCCCGAGGACGTCCTCAAAAGGACAGAAGTGCATCCCCCACACCGTTCTCTGAACTCGGTGAGCCATGTAGGGTTTAGTCACTGGGGTGCTCCACACGTCTCTGTACACCTGCAGGGAGACAGTTTTCCACAGAAGTCTTATTTATCGCCAGGTTAAAAAAAAGAAAAAAAGTGCAGTCATGGGTAATTCAAATCAACAATGTGCAAAACGCTTGTTTTATTTGGCCAGAAGAAGTCACTGCAGACGTTTTGAATCCTCGTACGAGGAAAAGCACAGGTTCCTTGAAAATGATCTCTCTTGTCATACACTAATATGTTCCTCTCTATGGAAAGTGTGAAAAGACACCCAGTCTATGGCGACAACTTCTCTGTGAAATCATTGCCAAAATGCTCAAAAGCTATGAGGAAAAAAAGAATGCAAACACGCCTGCAGATGGAGGTAAAACAAGCTAGCAGGCACGTTAACTTGAAGCAAACATGCTAACCGATTTAATATTACTCAAAACAACGTGTAAAGTCACCCCACCTACTTATTGCTAGCATGCTCCGTGACTTGGAGGCCTGTTCAGTGTTTCAACAACATAGCTGAGAGCAGTTTCTCTCATCTTCAATAACTGGTTTTCTAGGAATGTGAGGGGACCCGAGCAGATGTTCATTTCACCGGTTCTATTTCAGCTGTGACGAAACGAAACGCTGGGCGGGACAGAAAGTATTGTGGAAACACGCCCGTCATTGTCTTAAGAAGGAACTCTTGACAAAACAGCAGGTCAGCTGTGCAGTTTTCAATGTTAAATAAGATGAATGATGCAACAAAATTCATCTGTCTCAGATCAGAGTTTGTCTTACCAGATAGCCGTTTATTAGAAAACGTATGCGATTGTTACCAATACAATACTGTGTCTTTTGTTTTTCAATATTATATATTCAATGTGTCTCAGGTTACCACTTTCTCCACTAAACAAGGGTGTTTTTGCTGGCCGTGGTAAATATCCAGCTGTGTTCAATCATAGCAAGTTCTCCAAATGCCCCACATCCTGTGTGCCAGATGTTTTTTTTTTTTTTTAAATAAACCATGAATCATGCAGTGAGGAGGGCATAGTGACCTGAACAACGTCCCCCGTGGCCGCAGACAGCAGCCCCCTCTGGCTCAGCGACAAGCAGGATGCTCCGGCGGGGAGGAAGTAGGACTTGAGGACCTTGAAGGCTCGAACGTCGTACACTTTCAGCTTTTTATCCATACCAGATGTCACCATGTATCTGCCAAGAGGAGAACACAACAACAGATCGCTCTCTGGTGGACACTGAGGAAACTGCAGTTTATGAAAAAGTTAATCAGCCTGATAATAAAGCTCTTAACTGTTTATGGATTTCTTCTGACAAATTGTTAACTTTCAACCACTCACTATTGTTCCTGGGGGACACTTGCACTATGTATAATTCATAGACTATTACAATGGAACGCTGCATGAATACGAACATGTGATACACCGCATGTATCAATAGATTAGAGTCCGTTTGTCTTTGTAGTCATTTTCAAAAGGACGTACCTATTTGGGGATTTAATACAACGACTAATTACAATCTCAAAGACGTTTAAATGTGCTCCGATCAATCTGGCACTAATCCAAACTAGCTCAAATGACACAGATCGTATCTAATGGTTGGGTTGCATCCGTCTGTGGTATAATTTTCTTTTTCTCCATAATTACCCACTGCGTCCAGCCTCAAAAAGAGATCCAATATGCATGCTGTCTTACACAAGAAGAGTAAAAGGTTTAAGGTGACTCACGTGCCCGTCTTGTCCACAGCGACAGAGCGCACGCCGCCCTGGTGACACAGCATCTTGACGAGGGCTTCTTTCTGATTGGGCGACCAGAGAGTCACCGTGCCGTTGGAGTGGCCAAGGTGGATGATGGCGTTGTGAGGGTTCTGGCACATCACGTCAAGCCGGCCCCCCTTGGTGCAGATGGCTGCCACCTCCTTCCCCACGGACACGTCCAGGTACTGCAGGAAACCGGTAGCACTCTGAAGACAGAAGGTTAGTCAGAGCTGATTACTGTTGGTGAAGGGAAGTCTGCGGTAAAGCATCTGGAATACAACACTCTGGGTCAATGCGTTTGCTTTTACATTTATTGTTTGTATTTTTTTTAGGGGGGGGCACCAAAGATCCGAGGTTCAAAAATTTGATTTGCACATTTAAAACTAAAATATTAACAACACACTTTCTGTATAATTTACACAAAAGTCTGTGTACAGACTATTAAAAGAGATAGATGTTTTTTTGCACAGTTGCAGATAAAGATCAGGTTTACACTGATGTTATTAGTGTTTCACTATTTGAAGAATCAAATTCCAGTGGTGTATCAGACATTTCCAATAACTCCAGAGTGTTGCAAAGTCCATCACCATCACTATCTTTAAGTTTTATTCATTAAATAGTTTGTTTGAAAAGACCAACTCGATTGATACGCTAAATCAGTAAATCACACTGATTTTCTTCTGAGATTTGTATTTTTTTGTTTTATCTATGGTGTCCTTTATGAAGACGAAGACGTTCTAACTCCAGAACTCGCCTGAAAATCATTAAGTTTTCTTCAGTATGAAAGAAATTCAGTGATAGTTGTCAAACTTATAACAACAACCAAACATAAGCTTGGAACCCGTCTCGATTTCGTCTGAATCTTTTAACCAAAAGACAACCGCTATCAACTGAGCGTGCGATACGTCACACCAGGGGTTTGTGGCAAACTGTGACATTGTTATGCTGATAATACATTAATATTAAACATTCATGACATCATGTTCAAAACCTATGAGAACGGTTTTAATGGACACACCGCCGTTGCGAGCAGGAAGTGGTAGGGGAGAAACTGCATACGGAGGACGTCGTTGAATTTGCGGATGCAGTGAAGCTCGATTCCATGGGAGTCGTAGATGTGCAGCCACTTCTTCTGAGCCACCGCATACATGGCCTCACTGTGGAGCCACCTACGCACAGAAACACAGGAAATGATTTGGGATTATTTAGAGACAGGATTGCTGGTAGGTGAAGCGTGATTATAAAGCTGTGTGGTAGATGACTTACTTTACATCATTGACAGTCTCCATCACGTTTATCTCACACATCAGCTGTTTGGACTGCCAGTCGATACAAGCAACATGGCCTCTCCTCCCACCAAGCAGCAGCTGACTGAAGGGAAGAAAAACACACGATTCAAACATTTAAATCAATATTTCTATATGAAGAGGAAAGGACTCGCTTGTCGTGATAAAGTATGCCGCTTCCTTCAGCTCGAAGGAGCATATAAGTTTATATTATCTATAAAGCCCGATACCACAAATATCCCTCAAGGGGCTTTACAATGTGTACAGGATACGAAACCCTCCGTCCTTAGAGATTATTGTCCATTTGGATATGAAGGGTTTATAGGCTTCTTGCCCCAAGTGGCAAAAAAAGCTAAGTACATGTTTAAATATAGAAAAATCTGGAGAACATTGTATCCAATGTTGCGCTAACTGACTCATGTTATCAGCTATGGCAGCAAACCCTAAAACAAACACGTCACACATTGTTTTCTACGAGTACGGAGAGCGAGATACTGACCGTCCAGTCTTGCTGTAATCCGCTCGATATGGTCCAAACTGAGACAGTTTCAGATTAAAATACTGAGGGAGGGAGAGAAGAAATTAATTAATAAAAAGTTCAAAATATAGACTTTTTTTAAAACCAAGACCATCCAGCACTTATACGTCAGAAGGGACATATTTCTACATCGAGTTTGTGTCCCACCTTTGTCCCAGATGATATATCAACAGAATCTGCAATGTCCTCCTGTGAGATGGTACAAGTGTCCTCGTCTTCATCTCCTTCTAGAAACCTGAGATTAGAGGAAAACAACGTCACCACCAGCAACACCGTAAAGTTACATTTGTCATCATTTAATCTCTCTCACGTCATACACTGTGACATGAAGCAGCCAGACAACATTTAGAAGAAATTACCCAGCATCCTCTGGGAGTAGGAGGTCAAGACGAGCCGCTTGTTTCTGGGCCATTTCTGAAGTTTCTTCTGAGCGAGCGATCATGTCCTTCAGCTTGTAATTCCGGCGGCGAGGCTGTGACGAGAATAACAAAGGAATGCGATGCTGGCCAACTCCATCTAACTACTAGACTTAGTAAATAAGAGACAGCCGGGGGGGTTACCTTCTTAGTTTTTTCTTTCCTCTTGAACTTCTGCAACCTGTCTTCTGGAATAGGAGCAGCTCCAGGGAAAGGGTCTGGTTTCTGAGATCAGAAGAAATACACTGGATTTACTTTGTGAAACAATAAGATGAAGGGAAATGAATGTAGAAATTAGAGATACTGTATATTAATGTGATGGCAACATCTGAGGGTGAAAACAGATATTTTTGGGGCTCTGCGATATTGCAGTATAGATAAAATATCATCATCCTTTGGTCGCAACGCCTGCTTCAGTTAAAGGGACGCACAACTGTACATTCAGCACAGTACAGAGTCTCACTCGATGTTAACATATTGCCTCAATTAAGAGCTGGAACAGGATGAAACTGAATTTTGTATAACACTGTAAGCAGGCGTGGAATAAAATTGATTTTTACAAGCTTAAAGTTACTCAAGTACAACCAAAAGGGTACAAATATTTCATCAAACCGTGGATTTCATGAGTTGTTAAAAATACATCTACCAACATACAACCTATACCTTTATTAACCTGACACACAAACTAGGTGCGATATTGTGCATACACGTCCATATGCAACATAGACTGATCCTTACCGTACCAGCTAATATTAAATGACCCATACTGCTAACTTGTGTTTTGGTATTACGTGTAATTTGCACCTCATTGTTATTTCATGCATGCACTTTTTCTTGCTTTGTAATGTCCAGGATAAACAAAGTTTTATATATATATATATATATAAAAAGTGATATTATGTAGATATATTTCCAACCTCTCTTAATGACAGGCGCTTCCATTCTCTCACCCCTGATATGATGTCTTTTCCACCTGCTTGGTCTTCACTTTGTTTTCGTTTCGTTGCTCTCTGTGTCTGTTGCTCCTTCTGCTCTCCGTCTTTCCCCACTTTGTTTCCATCTTTCGGACCGTCCCAGTAACGAGCTGGAGGCTGTCGCAGAGGAGAAAACGGGCAGCAGGTTAACACAGCAGCAACTTTGACAACAAGACAGAGTGTCTCCATCTGTGCCCCAGGAACGGTGGGTTCAGCCTCGCCTCCTGACGGACCCCAGCACACACGCGCGCTGCTAGCGTTAGCTGCGTGATGCTAGCAAAGCTAACGCTTACGTCGTGTGCGTCAGTTAGAGAAGCACCGCGCTAGCCTCTCTATCTCTCTCAGCTAGTGACACAAAAAGTTAGAAACTCTGAATAATGATTTAATCGTGGTTACCTTCTTTTTCTCCACGTGTGTAACCCTCAACGCTTCGTCGCTGGGAGACGCCATCTTTGTTGTATACGTTTTTAACTTCCTGTGACGTCACTCCTGAATGCTTCACTTCTACTTCTTCTTTGAGGTTTATTGGCGGTTGGCAAACAATAAATTGGTACGTTACCGCCACCAGCTGGTATGGAGTGTGGATCAGGATGAATAGTACTTGTATAAAAATTTAAATTCAAAAATAAAAGAAAAAATAAACAAACACAAAACAACGGGCTCATATTTTAATATTAATGAATCTAAGATATTGAAATAGTACTTGATAACACTCACTTTTTGAGTTATTTTGCAGAATATCCACTATATCTAACCGTACCTCCATCTTACCGAGGTCTCCAATCAGCTGCCCTCTTTCCTGCTCGTGTTTCTGACATTGCACAATAACGTCTTCTATTGTTTCATATTTCTGACATTGCACAATTACGTGTAACGGTCACATTTTCCTGTTTTTTGAAGCATACTGTTTAGGCCAGTGTGTCCAAATCTAAGCCTTGATATCACCGTTTCCTCTCTCCTGTTCCTTCCTGCACATCTCATTTCTCCCACTTTCCTCTGAACTTGGTAAAACCATGGTCCTTTCCTGTCTTCTTCCCATTGCTTCTGCCACCTTTCCTTAAACCTCTGTTAAATGATACTTTTTGTTTCTGAATTACTGAAGCCGACTGTATTGGTGCAGCTATTTTTTGTGGTCTCTTTTGCAGCTTTATCTGCCATTTAATTTCCTTTGACCCCAATGTGTGCTGGTACCCATAGGAATATGACTGTCAGACCCGTCATTTGAATTCTGTACAATGTTTATTGTATTTCTATAAGGATGTCTGGTCTGTCTGTTCTGTAAGCTCTAATTTGACTAAATCTTTTTATTTTGTACATGGACCAGATAGGTAGATATTTATTCATTTATTTTACATAAACATGTGACGCACACAGACAGTTGATAATATTGAAGATAATATATAATGAGCAAAACATTTTGCTTTTGACACATTTGTCTCAAAAGGATGAAATTGTGCTCATATATCACTTCAAACATATCTTTGGTACGTTTGTACTGCAGTTTCTTGTTACATATATGAATCTGCGATAACCTTATATAGGCCTATATTGGCCAGTGAGTTAAGATTGTCAACGTATCCTCATACAACGGACCCTTTGATATCTTTGTGTAAAAAGTTTCATCTCATTTTCTGTGCAATTTTGTAAGAAAGTCCAGCTACATGTGCCAATGTTATTAAAAAAAACAAAAAAAAACTTCCATCTTCACAGGAAACAACTTAGATTTAGAAAACAAAACTGCTTAGTTAGGTTTACAAAAAGATTGTTAAATACAAAGTGTGTGTGTGACTGGGGTTTAAATAGTGGATGCAGCAGAGTGCGCAGGTGAGAGTAATGAGCTGACGAGGTGGGTGTGACTGGCGGGTGCACTGAATAAACTGGTTAGGTGAGTGAGAGGTGGAAAAAACAGGATGATGGTGGCAGAACTGTGACAGAGGCGCTGCTAACTGAAACCTGCGGAGTGACAAAGAGGAACTCCCGATTTGGTGAGGTTTTTTACATTAATTTGAAGTTGATGGCGAGCCAACTAGCCTGCTAGTTTGCCTGCTGCCTATCTCCAGTTGCTTGATTCTGCTTACGGGGCAGTTCAAGATGGCGATGAGCTCTATGCCAAATTCCTGGATACATTTCAAGATGCTGGTGAGAAATCATCCGCGGACCTGCAGGGCCTTCAGGTAATGTTAAACCTAGCTGTGAAAAGAGGCCGCGTTTCAAATAAAGCGGTCAACAAACATCTTCTCACACAGTTTTGCAGGGGATCTCACTGACCTCCAGTTAAAGCTACTGTTGAAAGATATCCAGTTTTACTTGTTATTTAAATGTGTCATGACACACAATAAATCTTGTCACTAACAAGTTGCAACACATTCACAGCTGTACATTGCCCTTGGGTCAGTTTTTGTTTGAATTTCCTCTAAAACTATTTCTGAAAATGGGCCAAGAATTGTTATCTCCACATATCGGAAAGGAGCGTTTGCCAAGTGAACTATGTCTTTCATTTGCCAGAACAAACTAGAATAACACAGCTAGAAAGTAGCTTTCTAGTTCTTCTCCCCATGTGATGCACTTTAAAGGACAATAATGTTTCAAGTTGAACCCATGCACACTGTGTAGACATTTCCTGAGGTGGCTGACATTGTATGAATATGCATGCAGTATGTTCAAGCCCAAAGCTTTTTGGGGAAAATGACTATTTTCACTTTGTAATGCTTGAAAAGAACAAAATCGGGGTATGGAAGTAGTAAAACTTATTTTCAAGACTCTATTGCGATTGCTGGAGATGACTGTTATCAGGGAAACTTTTTACACACAAGAAGACAAAAGGGAAAGCGGAGGGGCTGAGTTCCATATCACATCTGGAGCTGAGGCTCCAATTACAACGGGTAAAGTGTTGCGCAACAAGAAGAGCGAGGAAGGAAAACAGTTTGCTTGTCTGCTAGAACACTACAGTAGGAGAAGAGAAATGTCCAAGGCAGAGGAACCAGCAGCAGTCAGCATGTCTTTTGGTCCAGACAAGGTACGTGTCTCTATTAATCTAAGATAAGTTAAGAGGAAAATGCAATTGTTACAGCAGCTCAGTAGTCAAAGAAGCAAGGAAGGAAAGCTATTGAGTTATACATACAAATAAGTTAGTGTAAAAAAACAAGACAAAAGTACACATATAATTAAATGTCAATATGTATATTATATACTATTAAGTTTAAGCATCTTTAGTCAAAGGGCTACTTCTCTCACATTGGGTTCATTTCTGTTATCTAATTTCTTATTATGTATTTTTAAAATGCATGCATAATTAACAAATGCATCTAGCTCTATGCAGATATAAATAGATGTGTGGAAGTTTCCTTTTAAGAGTGACTTCAGTGTCTGCAACAGTGAACAATGTTTTTGCATTTTTTTCCACACAATCAATTTGCTGCAGTTCAATTACACATGCTTTGTACGTAATGATTATTTTCTTTTTAGTTACCTTCTCGACCAGAAATCTTTGATTTCCACGGAGTCTCAATGACTCACTACTTTACAGACAACTGGGAGAACATTGAAAACTTTCAGGCCAGGCCGGATGATATACTCATTGCAACATACCCCAAAGCAGGTGACCCATGAACCCATAAACCCATAAACATGAACAACCGGTGTAGATGCTGTGTGTATAGAGGTCAGGGGTTGGGATTGTTTGATTTTCCTCTCTGTCTCTCTCTTCCGGTCTTTTAGGAACCACATGGGTCTCCTACATCCTTGACCTGCTGCATTTTGGTCAGACAGAGCGCCAGACATCCGTCCCAATATTTGATAGAGTGCCTTTCTTGGAGATCATCATCCCATCTTTATATTCAGGTATTTACCTCACTGTAGCTGTCAAACTATTGAAGCACTGTACAGGTTCAATGCTTTGCTTACTCCATCTTTACCTCTTCATACAGGAAAAGACCTGGTGGACAACCTCCCCACCTCTCCTCGACTCATTAAAACTCACTATCCTGTCCAGTTTGTGCCAAAGTCCTTTTGGGAGCAAAACTGCAGGGTCAGTAGTTTGTGTGTTACTTGCAGTATATCAATGTACATGCAAAATGCTGAAACAGATGACAAAGTAACACTTGAGGCATGTCTACCAACAGTTACTGGTTATCAGAGATGCAAAACTGTGCGTTTGGCTGTTTTTAATCAGAGGGCGTTTCCCTTCTTTCATCTGAATGCTCGAAGCCTGTTACCCAAACAGGAAATGGGGAAACTCGAGGAAATGAAATTGCTTGCAGTCAAAACCAAAGTGGCAGTGATTGATCTAATGAAGACTTGGTTGGACCAATCAGCTAGAGACACGAGGGGGAGAACCCCAGCTACACCATTTACCGATGTGACCGCAATCGTAACTGGGGCGGTGTTTTTTCATTGGGTTTGCAGTTCAATATTGGCCAAATTTAGATAAATCTGAATCAAATGGGTTGACATTCTTCTCCCTAAGACTAGACCCATATTAGTAGAATTATGTTTTGGAACCTCCAAACAGAATGATTGTACAAGTTACTTGAAACGGATTGTTGAATCAAAATGTGTTCACGCGAAGAGAGTGTGACCTACTTAGTGACTTAAATACAAATGTGAAGCTATCATTTGGGAAAAGTCCGTTCAATGAAGACATCTTAGCGGCTGAGAGTGTGTGTGCTGTAACGGTTCCATTAGCTGCTCAATCAAAAAGAAGAGGCCCAGCAAAACACTATAAACCAACATCCGCAATGCCGAGGAGGAATTGTAATTACTGTGAACCCGTATTCATGGAATCTTAATTGCCTTTATACAAGCACTGTAAAGAAAGAAGTCAAGTATTAGCTACAGTACATTATAAAGAAACAAATGTTCTATATCGTGTAAACAATTTGATTTGGCTTGCAAAATATTAACTTAAATGTAAATTTGTAAGACTTCCGGTTTCTAAAACATCTAAAAACAAATGGGCCTTATTTGTAAAATCCTCAGGCCGTGGTTACATCATTTTCTGGCGCGCGCACCTCGTGTTTGCTTCACTACCGCGAGCATAAACTAAGCTTATGAGTGGTGAGTCAGTGGGTTTTGAGAAAGTCTGAGTCACAGCAACCAAGAGGTGTTCTGGAGCAAGCAGCCATAACTGCCCCCCCCCCAAAATTTAATGCAGTTTGATACAGCAGAATGCGAGATTAGCCGTGGACAGACACAGAGGTGCACACTCACTCAGTCTCGCACGCACAGACAATCTCATGATCTTCCTGGCAGAGACGGTAGTAAGTGTTGCATTACCCTTTTATGTGCTAACCTTTGGGTTGACTGAACAACCAAGGATGTTTTATGTCTTTTATACCCAAACACGTAGATGTGTAACAGTATATTATGTCTCATGTAACGCTGGTCTTCCAGTCATTGAAGTGTTTTCTTCTTTTGTAGATCGTCTACGTGGCCCGCAATGCCAAAGACAACATGGTGTCTTATTTTCACTTTGATCGCATGAACACGGTTCAGCCAGAGGCTGGAGACTGGAGCAGCTACATCCCCAGATTCATAGAGGGAAAAGGTATGCGTGAAACACAATAACAATAGATGAGACGCACAGATTTCCAATGAACAATACTGAGGCGCTTTAACGGTTCGTTCTGTGGCCTCAGTGGTGTTTGGATCCTGGTACGACCATGTGAACGACTGGTGGAAGAAGAAACAGACTTACCCGAAACTCCACTACATGTTCTACGAAGATCTGGTCGAGGTAATCTAGTCGTTATTGTGAGGCTCTTCCTATTCAGGCTACTTCTCTCCTCTAGCTGGTAATAATGCAACAATGATATCCGACTGTTTCCAGGACACTGGACGGGAAATAGACAAACTCTGCTGCTTTCTTGGTTTGTCTCGTTCGGACGAGGAGAAGAGAAGAGTTACCGATGGAGCACATTTTGATAACATGAAAAAGGACGACATGGCCAACTACTCTACCAACGCAGTTATGGATTTCAAAATTTCTCCTTTCATGAGAAAAGGTAAGTGTGTGTGTGTGTGTGTGTGTGAGAGAGAGACACACATGGAAAAAAACAAAAATCTGATCCTCTACTTTAAACTAACATAGCCGAGTGATTCTCTGTGGTTTTGCAGGGAAAGTTGGTGACTGGAAGAACCACTTCTCTGTGGCCCAGAGTGAAATGTTTGATGAAGACTACAAGAAAAAGATGACTGATGTCACTCTTCAGTTCCGCACTGAAATTTGATAAAGACTGTCTGTGTCTATGAGGAGATGATCTGACTGGAAATGCAGCATTCCTGTGAGAAAATCAATTTGCCTAGACTGGTATAGTGGAAGTGTGGAGTTCATCTTCTTGCTATTTGTATCTGAATTAAGAATAAGAACTATATATTACGAGCGGTTGGTCTCATCCAGCATTTGTAGCTATACCTACGAAAAATAATACATATCCCACAGAAATATTTTGTATGATATTCACGTAATCATAAACAAGGAAGTATAAGGATTGCAAAATGCAAGTCAGAGCAGGCCGGAGGGGAGGTGGACGAGTTTGACCCAGGAAAGAGACTGCTATTCGTTCCCCATGTGAAGCTAACTATGCATGTGACGAGCGTAAAATGACACATTTCGCTGGCTTTAGTAGGAAAATGCCTGAAAAATGAGGAGTAACTTGTCTTCAGATATACAAGATGTTGAGGATACGTTGATTATGAAGGATGACTGAAATGAAATGGCTGATCATGTCTGAAGGTGAATATTTGTTTTATAAGAGAATGTGTAAACTAGACAATGATGTAATTACCCATTAAAAGTTCATGTGTAATTAAAGAGCAGCTGTATGACTTCACTGTTTACATGAGTGTGATCATTAGAATTTATGAAATCTAAAGGTTTTCATCTTTATATTTGCAATAAAACGGCTCATTCATATTGTTTTCTTCATGTGTGAGATGTTAAACAAAATATTCAGGAAATGGCTGAAGAGATAGTTGGTATGAAAGTTGCACTATAAACACAATACAATGTAATGTTCTTAGTTACTTTCCACCAGTAGGCACGTCAGTTTAATTTGTTTTTTTCCCCTTTACTTGCACCTAAAACTAATGGTAAACTATTTTAAATTCAACCTCACTGTCACTTTACCTTGTGATGTGTTTTCTCCAAATGTCCTTGTATATTTTCTAATTTGTTGTCTATTTTTATACCCTCATTACTTAGTTATTTTACTCTATTTATCTGTACTATTGCTGCTGTTGAAGAAGAAATTCTTTCAGGTCCAATTCTGTGGCTGGTTCAGATGAGTTTTATTCACTGCGCAGGATTACAGGCAGAAATGCACAATAAAAAATGAATACACTTAATTAAACTAAGAGATACAACTTTTTCTTCCACACTGCCATTAAACTGCTGTAACAACAATTTCCCTGTTTAGGATTTATATATTTAGTGCTGGGCAAGTTAACGTGATAATAATGCGTTAACGCATTCATTAACCCTTAGATTACTCTTTTTGATTATGAAATATCCACAAAAGAAGAACCCAACAAGAGGAACTAAGAGGCCTCAGACTGAACCTGAACGATCATCTTTGCCAATCGTCCTCGTGTGTGTTTTGAAATTACTGGTTGTATTTGAAATTTGACCATTCATGGTGACTGTGTGTGTGTATCAGAGTGCACTCAGTGGAGGACATGAGTGCACTCTGAGAGGATTCTGGAGTGTGTGTGTGATGGAGAATTTTCCCTGTGCTAGTACATTTCTACTGTGACTTAGTTTATGCGCCTTACTCACGAACAAACTACACATGTGACATATGATTGTGTACCAAGCAGAATGGTAACAGGACCATATGGGGTATTTCTGCCTTTGCTTTGATAAGAGGAAGTAACTGAATGGGGGCGCAGTTTAACCAGAGAATGTTTAGATAAGATTCCCAGGGGTAATCGAGGGTAATAAAGACAGATCTCTTTGTGTGACAAGGCTCAGAAGAGGAAGGGGATGACTGGAGGGGTCAATGGGGAGCTTGAAACTGTTGACCAATTGTTATAATGTAAATACCTGATGTTCCCCCCCACTGTGTGCACTCCGTTTCCATTTGAAAACGCATATGTTTTGCTACGTTTACACTGAGCGTCCACACTACGCCGTTGTTTTCGAGCACCGAAAACGGAGGAGTTTGAAAACGATCCCGAGGACGGATAAGTTTGACAACGCCGGGGTTGCGTGTTCGTGTGGACGTTCGAAAAAGCTGTTACGTTTGGAAACGATGACGCCCACAACCGCGTTCGCTACTTGATTGGTTCTTAGCAGTCATGACGTGTCCTTCCCTGATTCGTCACACCCCTATCATGTGACCCTTACCCGGAAGAAAACAAACAGCCGGGCTACCAGTGATTCATTTCAACATGGATAACAAATTTCAAGCGTTACTTGCTTTGTTGTCTATACTAGCAGCTGTTCTGCAGTTAAATTCTGCATTTTATAATGCTATACTGCCGACACGTGGAGGAGGCAAGCTATTATTCGAGCGCTGTGCGACAATTCCCGTGTCCAGAAGCGTTATCAGCCCTACATGGAGCGCCGAATTTTCTGCAACTAAACCAACTGCAGTGTGTAGATCATCTTCTTCCTGTTTACGCCGTCACGCGCATGCCCAGTGTACGTTAATGGTCATGTGATATGCGTTTTCTAAGGTTGCCGTGTGGATGCAGATCATTTCGAAAACGATGCTGAAACGCCCGTGTGGACGGAAAACGGAGTAGTGTGGACATGGCCTCAGAAACTGGATTCTTGGCCCATCCTCCTGCAAACTGCGCTGCAGTTTGTGTGACGATGAAGCCTTCTCTGGCCAGAGAATAAATACTTTATAGACAAACTTCTATTCTACAGTATTATAGGACTCACTCGGTACTATTGAGTAGTTTTTTTCCACCACAAACGTGAATGTGTTGATTTGGAGCTAGTCATTGTTAAACGTTGCGTAATAGTGATAATCGTTACCCGGAGAGGTTGGAAGGAGATACATGTTTCTAAACCGTTATATTTTTTTGTAAAACTTGTGGAGCTAACATTAGCAGAGGACGTTATAGCACATAATTAACTCGCGTTAGCACGTCTATGCTACACTAGCTATTGAAGCTATGCTTAATGTCTACACTTGCTGCTTTAGTATGAAATTAAGTAAATAAAGACCTATCCGTCTTTACAGGAACACAGTTGTTCTTTGGACTACCAGCGGTCGCTACCTAAAGCTAACAAACGACAAAATGTAGGCGGCGAACCGATCTATAATGCATTTATTTTCAAGGTACGAGGTCCAAGTTCAATTTATTTATTATTTTACAACACAGGATTGTAAAACAAAGTTTTATAGTTGTTGTCCCTTTATGCTACTCACAACAGTCACATTGCTCAGCGATGAACCCCCCCATCAGACTCTTCCTCACTCAGGTCATCAAGCAAATCTAAAATCTGCTGCACATCAACAGATCTCTTTCTGTTGACCACAGTGAGTGGGGTTAGCCTATGAATTATTCATAGTGTGAACACAGCATTAACCAATAGAGAAGCAGGAGTGAAGGTCCTGATCACACCTTCATGTTGTCAGGTATGTTGAGCAACATGCCACAGTATAAAAAACACAACAAACTGACTTCATTGTGGATGATTCAGACACTGTTTTGAGAAAAACGCTGTCAGCAGGATAAGTGGGCTACTTTAAACTGGAATAGGGACAAAAAATACATGTTTTAAAATGTGATTCACTTTAAAGTTATTCTAAGCCATTTGAACTGCCAACTGGGATTAACTGGTAACACATTTAGGCACTTACCTCAACTGCAGAATATTTGAGAAGAAAGGCAAAGAAACCATAGGCTACTTGCGTCTGCTTTTTTTGTTTGGCAATTCTTACTGGTTTTCTATTAAACCTACGATACATTTATTTGCAGCAGTTGTCGGAAATGAAAGTGTACAAACAGCTGCATTATTCAGATTACTACAGTTGTGGTTATTTTTACTCTTTTTTGCATTTAATAGTGTTTTTTTATTTGGTTTTACAGGGAACACTTTAAGCTGAAATTGAAATGTTTTTTTCCTCTACTACTGTACACTACAGTACCTTTTACAAATTGCTTGTATATGTGCACGGATACTTGGCCAATAAAGCCGATTCTACTCAATGACTGTACTTAAGTACGATTTTGAATTAATTGTACTTCACTTTAGTAATTCCATATTCTGCTACTTTATACTTTTACCTCGCTGCATGTCAGATAGAAATATTGTACTTTTTACTCTACATTTCATAACGATTCTCAGGTCACTATATTGCATATTATATTCCATTTCTGCTATTAAATCCCGCTAAATGTTACACACTGTTCCTTTAAGTAAAAGATCTGAGTACTTCTATCACCACTGCATTTATTTCCCTCAAAAGCAAGAACATAAAATGAATAACATGAAATATTGCACTGACCACTAATCGTTATTGGTAATACCAGTTCAAATGTAATCATTTATTTATACTGGGTTAATGTATTTAAGTATGTTTAGTAGCTCTGACAGCATGGATTATAATTGATGTTTCAAAATGATTTATTCTCACAGATGGAGGTGATTCATCGGCAAACACTGTTTGACTTCCACGGAGTCTCCATGTCCCAACACTTCACTAACAACTGGGACGAGATACAGAACTTTAAAGCGAGACCAGATGATATTCTTATAGCTACTTATCCTAAAGCAGGTGGGGTTGTGTGTGGAGCTTTTGGCATCATTGTACTACTTTTAATTCATAATTTAATGTTAATGAATGCCGTGGGTCAATATGTTACCTATGCTCATGCCACTGAACAGAATGTACCCATGTGTATATTTAACCTCAGGAACAACATGGGTCTGCTACATCCTGGATCTTCTGTATTTTGGGACATGTCCAGAGCGTCAGGCGTCCATCCCTCTTGATCAGAGAGTGCCGTTTCTAGAGATCATCAAACCTTCTCTACCCACAGGTTGAATCATGTGATCAGGGTCGCCGCACGCATGGAAAAAAACATTTTGCATGCTAACTAAACCCAGTTGTACAGGATTGACACGGCTTTTAAACTTGCTTATAATATACTAGTATGAGACAACCCTTTGATTCCAAGACTATATATAGAATTTTAAAAACAAATTAATTCATAACATAATTAGAAGTTATTGATAATTTAGATATAACTAAATATAGTTAGTAGGAAGATATCAGAATTATCGTATAATCTCATCACATGATCAAATATTTCAGAGCCAGTACACATAAACATATATGATTTACACTGAACAACACGCATAGCAACTATAGTTGCATGCAGTTAAGCCACTGACTAATGCTTCTCTTCACAAAAGGTAAAGACTTGGCAGACCAACTTCCCACCACTCCTCGTCTCATCAAAACTCATCTACCACTCCAGTTTGTGCCAAAGTCCTTCTGGGAGCAGAACGTCGGGGTGAAAGCCATGCACATACAATATGTAGCCTTTGAAATATGCGAGTTACGAACCACACTTAATTATGATGCGGATTATATTCTTATGTTTTCTCTTTCTGTAGATAGTCAACGTGTTTCGTAATGCAAAGGACAGCGCGGTGTCCTATTACCATTTTTGCCGCATGAGCAACGCCATGCCAGAACCTGGAGACTGGAGCACCTTTCTACACAACTTCATGGAGGGAAAAGGTGAGTTCAAAGGAGTTTTAGTGTAAGGGAGGCACACAGTCTTGTCATTTCCTATGTCACCACCTCATCTACATACAGTATAATCGTGTTGCTTCAGTGGTGTATGGATCCTGGCATGACCATGTGAACGGCTGGTGGGAGAAGAAACAGACGTATCCAAAAATCCACCATATGTTCTATGAAGATCTGATTCAGGTGAGCTGAGGTGTGTTGGTATGTGGGGATGTTTTCAAGAGAGCTAACCTTCCAAACGGTCCTGATCCTTGAGTTATCAATCCTGTCAAGAAAACAATTTACGCTTGCTGGTCGTTCATGTTGGTTGTTTGAAACATTGCAACATGTTGTGTAATAAAAGGAGTAGTTTGACATTTTTGGGAATTATGCTTATTCACCATATTGTGGAAGGTTGGATGAAAAGATGTATACAACTCTCATGTCTGTACTTTAAATATGAAGCTACAGTCAGAAGATGGTTAGCTTAGCATAACAGAGGGAAACAGTTCCAGATAAAGTTAGGGGCCTGGGAGAAGTGAGCAGTGGCTGAAGTGAGGGATTGTACGGATTAATCAAATAAGATATTACGTGTAATTTAGTGAGCTTTGGAGGTGCTTAGCAGGCAAATTCTCTTTACCTTTGGTGTCACCATTGTATGAGATGCAGGTGGGCGGAGTAGGACAGGCAGAGCACAGTCTCAAGGCAGTTCGTGAAATTGTCACCAAATGCAAACTATTACTTTCATGTGCAGGAACACGAATTGTCCGGAGTTTTTTTGGGATGAAGTTACGTTAAAAACAAACGTTAGGTTAAGGCAACAAAACCACAATATTAGGTTTAGGACCTATCCACCCCCCCTCCTGACCACCAATAGTCATCTTTTTGGATATTATAAAGTACGTCACTTGGTCAGAGTTTCACATTGTCACACGAATGCATTTAATTTGTGTGTCCACAACGAATAAGACTCCTACTTGACTTTCCATTGGCATTATTTTCATGACATAAAAAAACAGACAATTCGTGTCCCTGTACAAAACAAATACGTTGCATTTCTTGACTATTTCACGAACTGCCATGATACTGTGCTGAGTGAGATGTGTAGGTGGAAGGGATATAGGGGAGCAGGAATGGCCTGACAGTGTGAGGGCCTCTGGTGGATAGTTATAGCATGGCAGGTCCAGCAAGTGAGACGAGGGTCAGAGCTGAAGACAGGGACAGAAATCCAGGCCAGGCTAAACAACAAAGAGACTTTAAAGCTAGGGGTAGCTGTTTCTTCCTCTTAGAGGTCTTGATGCTGAGCTAAACTAACTGACTCCAGTTTCATATTCATCATACAGAAATGAGAGTGGCATTTCTTATCTAGCTCTCGACAAGAAAGAGTGTAAGCTGAAATGTCAAACTACTCTCCTGACATAGACCTTTAGTACGTTTAGTACAATGTGCTGACATAAATCAATGTTACATAGAGATGTGTTTGAACAATGTAGCCTTTTTTAGACTGGATATTGGTCAGAAAGATAACTTATGTATCTTTAATTTATGTGTAACAAGGCTGAGATTCTTACATTTTCTGCAGGACACGGGACGAGAGATAGACAGACTCTGCTCCTTCCTTGGTTTGTCTCCTTCAGCTGAGGAGAAGGAAAGAGTCACAAGTGAAGTGAAGTTTGACAATATGAAACAAAACAAGATGGTCAACTATTCCACTGTCCAAAGTATGAATCAAAAAGTGTCTCCTTTCATGAGAAAAGGTACAGTGAAACATGTCTAACGTGAAAGAAATTCCTTGGGAACATGATTTCAGTTTGCACCAAAAGCTGCTCATTAATTTCTCTGTTTTTATTTATTAATTACGTGAATGATTCTCTGTTTCTCCAGGGAAAGTTGGTGACTGGAAGAATCATTTCACTGTGGCCCAGGATGAAAAGTTTGATGAGGACTACAAGCAGAAAATGAAGACTAGTACACTGCAGTTTCGTTCTGAAGTTTAGAGGCCCGTGCACCCTTGTCACTGTGGTTCATTTGTTGAGTTTACGGAGTCAGATGTTAAAGTTGGTTGACAGAAATATTGTCTAAATTGTTTTTATTGTGATGTTCATTGATGACATTCATATGTTTAACCCTTGTTGAATCGATGGCATCACCCAGAGGCCGATCACTGGGATGATACATGTTTGGGTGCTTTGAATGTAATATACCCAGAATAAAAATAACTAAAACACTGTGTTATACAGGAGTGTATTAGAAATGATTATGTAATACAAATGGTTGTTGACTTTTCGACAGCTGGTGAGTGATAGCCTGTGGTCCTGGCTCCTCATCCTGCAGGAACAGGCTGCACTGAAAAGTGTATCAGTGACTTAAACACAGCTCTTTCCAGTCGCCTGGACTTTGTTGCACCTCTTACTATCAAAACAAGACAGTCCAAGAGAGACTGAGAGAGACGTGACTTCTCACACGACTGGCCGGGGTTCTTCACAGTACATGAAAATACACAAAGACAATAAAAATAAAATACAGTGAATAAAACTAAGAGATACAGCATTTGTTTACCGCTGTAACAACGGAATTTCCCTGCTGGTTATTAATAAATGTTTATTTTACATTAATGTTTGGAAATAGGCCAAGAATCTTTATCTACTTAGAAGGTCGTCTCACCATAGATAAAATATACTTTAATTTGCCAGTACAGAATGTTATATGTTATTATTGTATACTGTAAAGTATTTTTATGATAAATAGAAGCTGGACAGAATGGCACGTAAAAGATATAGTCTGCACACTAGATAATGCTTTTACATTTCATTACCTAACAGAGCACAAGACGGGTCACCTGCGGCTCCCTTGGATACAACACATGATATAAATACATAGATAAATATGCACTGAAGTGCATGAACATAGTCACCGTGTGACTCTATATAAAGACCATAATGCAGAATCGACAGGAAATGCACAAAATATACACAAGATCTGTGTAAAGCTACATACAACTTAAATGTGTGTGTATAAAGAGCATTGTTTTCATAATTTTGTAGTTGCATCAAGAGAAATCTCATATTTGGTTTGTCATTGTCTGAAAGGACACTAAAAATGTTTAAATATCAATTCAGTAAAAGAGACGAGGCACAGATGTCCTCACTTTGTTCGATTATCCAAGTTGTACAATGAAAATAGAAGAAGGAAGTTAATTAAGTTGGAACTGTCCCTGAGAATTTCATGACTTTAAGAACTTGATACCTTTCTATTAGCATAACTAAAATATTAACTTCAAAAATGTACCATCTTGGTTCTGAGAGTGAAGCCAAGCCAAGTGCCTTAAACCTGCATTCTCTCTAATGGCCATCAGGGGGCGACTCCTCTGATTGTATAGAAGTCTATGAGAAAATGACTCTACTTCTCTCTTGATTTATTACCTCAGTAAACATTGTAAACATGAGTTTATGGTCTCAATCTCTAGTTTCAAGTCTTCTTCAATACAGCATGATGTTCATTTAGTAACTTATGGTCCATTTAGAGTCAAACAGACCATAAAGCAGAGTATGCTTTATGCTTTCAGTCAGTCTATGGATTCTGTACGCATTACTGCCTTTAGATGATTTGATCGTGTGTTTTGTATGTTTTCAGTCCTTTCTTATTTTAATCTGT